CTGTAAGGAAGTGATCTCTTGGTGTTATTCGGATGACAACTAGAAAAATGGAGGTATTGTTGGTGGTTGGTCGGTTTTATGTGGATAGATGTGGTGAGGCTATTGTTCCTTAGATGAATTGTAAGGTCTAAAAAGTTGATGGAAGTCTCAGAGAAATCCCAGGTGAAATTTAGCGGTCCAAAACTGTTGAGGTCTTCCAGGAACTTCCGTAGTGATTCTTCACCGTGGGTCCAAATTATGAAAATATCGTCAATGTATCTAAACCAGCAGATGGGGAGGTGTTCACGGCTAGACAAAAACTTTTCTTCATAATTCCCCATGTAGAGATTAGCATAAGATGGGGCCATTCTTGTACCCATGGCAGTGCCCTTGATCTGTAGGAAGTGTTTGTCCTGAAATTGGAAATAGTTCTTTTCCAGAATGAATTTTATCAGTTGAGTTATAAACGAAGTGGTGGGTAGGGATCCTTTGGGTCTGTTTTGAAGGTAGTTTTCTGTTGCTGTTAGGCCGTGGACATGAGGTATGTTTGTGTAGAGTGAGGTGACATCAATAGTGGCCATGAGAGTGTTAGCGGGGAGTGGTTGTCTGACATTGTTAAGTTTTTGCAAAAAATCATTAGAGTCCTTGATATATGAGGCCAAGTTTTGTACTAGCGGTTGTAGATAGGCGTCTACGTATGAAGAGATACGTTCCGTTAAAGAACCGCAGCCTGATACTATGGGCCTTCCTGGCGGTGGTGTTATGCCTTTGTGGATTTTTGGTAATATGTAGATTTTAGGGCAGATGGGTTCTTCTGGTATTAACAGATTTGTTGTTTCTGGGGAGATATTGTTGGATTTGGAGTGTTTGTAAATTATTTCCTTGAGTTCAGCGGTGTACTTTATAGTTGGATCTTCTTTCAGAGGGAGGTAGGTGGAAGAATCACTGAGCTGGCGTTGGATTTCTGACACATAATCAGATTTATTCATTATCACTGTGGTTGAGCCTTTGTCAGCTGGAAGGATCATGATATCAGTATTTGATTTTAAAGTTGAAATGGCTTTTTTCTCGGCTTCGGTGAGGTTATGGAGTGTTGTAGAGGTTACGTTGTTTTCGAAAGTGGGATCTGAGATGTTTTGTACCAAGAAGTTGATGTATTGTTCTATCGGATGGTCTGCTGGTAACGGAGGGGGATCGAAGTCCGAGGGTGGAGCAAACTTCGCTAGGGAGGGCGCCACACTGTTGGATTTCGAGTTGGACAACCGAGACTCTCCGAAAACGCATGAACGGCCATCGACATGATGTTAAAACTAGCAAAGAAAAACCAGTTGCACAACATGCCTTATCCCACCAACTTCTATTTGATGACTGTTTCACCATAAAAGCTCTAAAATCATTGCCAAAGAACCAATGCAATAGTTCAATGCTCAGAAGATGGGAATTAGCTTACCAGTTTGTGACCAACTCCAGAACCCCACCTAACCTCAACATTAGATAATATCCTCATATCCTCACCCTCACAGCTAACTCTTAAGTATTTATTTTCATGGACAAAACTAATTTGCTTTTCAATGTACATATTATATGTAAATACAATATTGCAATGTGCCTGTATTTAGTGCTTTGTGCAGTGTCAGTTGGACAACCTGTCAGACATTTTGAATTCAAACTGTGTCATCCTATTTAAACTGTTGTTTTGTAACTACCATCTAGGCCTACTTCTGAAGAAGCCTCTGAAAGAGGCGAAATATTAAGTAAATTATGTGTGTGATTTTATGTGTTCTTTGACTCATCTGCAACCTTTCATCAGGTGAGTTAGCTGTGTCCTCTCCATCCTATATTTATTTATTTAATACTAGTATCTTGTAAGGTTACTTTTATAAGGAATGTAAAGGGTGAGTTTAAAGTCCCTTCCCCCCTACTTTTTTTAAGCAGTAAAAGTTAGAATGTTTAAATTCCGCACTTCTTTGCTGGATCTAAATATCTGGGTTTTCATGGGTTCATTTACTCAGAATGATTTCACAAAAGTGATTTGACCGCACGTTTAAGTGAAAAAAATCCCAAGGATCCACTAAACAATTAATTATTGATAATCAAACATTTCCTTGCTTTCAACATACATTATTTTAAAATGCAAGAGTGAAATGATGTATCTTATAATTATTTTGGAATATTAAGCTTGACTTTTAAAACTCATACTACTGTCCATTCTCTCCCAACTTCCTATTAGCATTTCGTTTTCGTCTCTTCTGTGGTGACTTCCCTGAAAGTATATGTGAACATACTTTTTAAATAGAAATACTATGAAAATTCAGTCATCATAATATGTCAATCCGAAAGTCAGGGAAAGAGAAACACCCTCCAAATAGATATTCCCCAAATGACAAGAATGAGGAACCCATAGAAAGAGATGGTCAACCTCCAAAACCCCCTTCTAAGTCAAAAACCACATCTTCAACTTCCAGCAAGCGCCGGTTAGTTCAACTGCAACTAGAAGAAATAGAAGAAATGAACAAGCTTGAGAAAATACACGAAGAAAGGGAGATGCAACGGCTGAAAGAATTTGAAGAAAAGGAGATGGAGCGACAGAGACAAGAGATGGAGCGTAAAATTCAGGAACAACAGAGGCAAAGAGAGGAGAGGGAAATGGAACGACAACGTCAAGCTGAAGCAAGAGAACTAGAACGTCAGAAGCGTCTGCTGACAGGCCCGTTTTTGACCATGTCAGCGCCCTAGGCACAACTAATAGTAGCGCCCCTTTGCAATATATAACAGGGTGACCACCAACCGGGAAATCCGGGAACTAAGCGTGAATTTTTTGAACCAGGAATTATGTGTTAATTTTCTATTTCTACCTGGAATTGTCAATTTACAACAGTGACGTTTCCGTGACCACGGGAGACGGGAGGCGATAATATGTCTCCACAAGGCCTCGAGAGATGATCAGAACTTTGCCGCGATCGCATGAGATGATAATAATATCTAAACGACCGCGGGATATGATCATGATTTTACCGCGATCGCGCAATACGATAATGAGATCCACAGAGCCGTGAAGGATAATCAGAATATTGCCGCGATCGCATGATACGATGATAATGTCTAAACGACCATGGGATATGATCATGATTTTACCGCGATCGCGCGAGTCTATGGTAATGACTAAATGACAGCGGGATATGTCATGGTCCACACAACCACGGAAAACAGTCAGAAATTTGCCACGATCGCGGAAGACGATAATGATATCCACATAACTGCGGGATATTATTAACATTTTGCCGTAATCGCGGGAGACAATTACGATGTCTTCACGACAGCGGGAGACGATTATGATGTCTTCACGACCGCGGGAGACGATTACGATGTCTTCACGATCGCGCGGAGACGATTACGATGTCTTCACGATCGCGGGAGACGATTACGATGTCTTCACGACCGAGGGAGACGATTATATGATGTCTTCACGACAGCGGGGGACGATTGCGATGTCTACAGGATCGCGGGAGTTACAATAATGATGTCTACTCTACACGGCTGCGAGGGATGATCAGAATTTTACCGCAATCGCGTAAGACGATGATAATGTCCACTCAATCACGGGAAAGATCAGAAATTTGCCTCATTCGTGAAAGACGATGATGATCTCCAAACAACCGCGGGATATGATTACCATTTGCCGCAATGGCGGGAGAGGATGACAATGCCTCACGACCACGGGAGGCGATGATGTCTTCACGGCTGTGAGGGATTATCAGAATTTTATCGTGATCACGCAAGATGATAATGTCCACACGACCCCGGGAAAAGATTACAATTTTGCCTCATTCGCGGTAGACGGTGATAATCTCATCACGACCGCGGGATGTGTTCATATATTGCCGCGATCAAGGAAGACGATAATCATGTCCACACATCCGCTGGAAATAGTCAGAACTTTGACGCGATCGCGGGAGACGGACGATGACGACGTATATACAACCGCGGTAAATAATTAACATCTTGCCGCAATTGTGGGAGACTGTTAAGATGTCTACACGGCCGCAAGGGATTATCAGTTTACCGCGATCGCATGCAAAAACGGCCACAATTTTTTTTCTTTTTTCCAATTTTTTGGCGCCCCCCAAAAAAAGCCAATTGCCTCGCGCCCTAGGCACGTGCCTACCTTGCCTATTCGGTAAATCGGCCCTGTCTGCTGAGAGTAAGGACCGAACTTGAGTCTGCTTCAGTCTTGGGAAGTAGTCAGTCCGCCTCAGTCTTGGGCAGTCGTCATTTGGAAGATAATGAAGAACCTGACAAGGTAAGCTTCAATATTGCTACAGTTGAGGAGGACTCTAATGTCAAAGTCAAGAGGTGGCTAAATGAGGAACCGTCAGTTCCTTTGACATTATCAGCCATTGTGTCCACGGCTATTGATAAACTAGCTGACTCCTTTTCAAAAGCTATCAATTCATTCCCTGAAAGTATATGTGAACATACTTTTTAAATAGAAATACTATAAAAATTCAGTCATCATGAATTGAGGGAGATAAAATACAAAAAAAACCATAAATGTCCCCTACTGTAGCAAACCTGCACACCAACTGAATTTCTGTTTGACCGAATAGATTTTTTAGACATGGAACTTGAGCCCACACCATAAAATGCCACTTTTGGTACTAATAATGAAATATTTTAATTTTGTCTGTGTTCTTCAAACTACTTTAATACTTTCCAATGAAATGGCGACCATATAAAGTAGGTATTTTATGACAAGTATGAATGGAGATGAGTGTAGGATGAGTGGCGCGATCTTGTAGTCTTGTAAGTGACTAAGGCCACTAATGTATTTGGTGATAAACTACTATATCAAGAACCCAGGGAAAAAGGAATAGCCTATAGTTAAATTTGTACAAGATGCAAAAGATCTTTCAAAAAGGATATAGATGGTATGCACAAGACCTCAGCAAGTAACGGCATCCGATCGATTAAGACAACTTTATTGCAAAGGGAAATAAAATTCAATATCTTAGCATACTCACTCAAAAACTTCCTGAGTTCATCCTTATCACCTTTGTCGATAAAACCTTCAACTTTTTTAACAAACTTCTTGATTTGATTCGCGTTGATTGTCAGATACTCAGCCGCAACGTGGTCAACCAAGTTGCATTCTTTGTCCCAGAAGAAATCAATATGCCCTGCCTCCAACGCTTCTTGGAAACGAATCAACATCTGAAACACAAAAAGGTGATGATCAAGTGGTTTAAGGCATCAAGTGGACTAGAGAAGAATTTTACATGGTGGGGGAAATGAGTCCATGATTTAAGTGACCAGGAATCGGATTAAAAATTTCATATTAACTTCTTTGTACTTACATACATGAAGAGACGTCCCCGAGAAGTTTTCTTCCACATAGTTTGATCTTTTTGTGTTTCTATTTCCCACAAAAACAGCGTTTTTATGTAGTAGCTGGCCACAGCGTGGATTTTCAACTGGTCCCGTACTTGCTGTAAATGGTAATATTATTTTACAAATCTGGGATAAACTGGCTAAAATAAAGATTAGGCTAGTTGATACAGGACGATTGGTAATCAAAATTAGGACTAAGAAATAAAAAAATAAAAAATCAGTTGTTGAATCTAAAGCTTATCTTTTCTCTTTTTTGCAATACTTTCTATTATAGATTAAAATCAACACAACTTTGTAACAATTCAAATATCAACAGAAAACCAACAAAACTTTGTCACAATTCAAATATAAACGGAATGATTTGTGATAAAACTAACAATAACAATAACAATATTCATACTCATTGTGATGGTAGGCAATATGTCACTAACACACTGTGTAGAGAACTAATCCTAGATGGCCGCCAGCCTTCAAGGACTCTTAAAGTACTCACTTATTTACCCTACTCATTTAAGGCATATTTATTTACCTTTAACAATCGAAGTATAAACTTGAGGTAGTTAAGGTCATTTATAATATTTTTCTCCTGAATGGGAAAAGACAGCCTCCAAGCAAGAAACCAAAGCTTGTTCTTCTTAAGATCTTCAGGGGGAATTCTCGGGCTTTTTGGCACAGCAAACCACGGGTCCTGGTAAAATAGTACAAAATAAGTAAAAGCAATAATTAGGTGCTTGATGTGCTCAGGTTCCCCACGAGAACTTGAAAATGAAATTCACTGTTTATTCACATTTGTTCATGGTTTTATTTTGTCTCACAATTTTGAGTGTCAGAAGCTTAGGACAGATATTTTGACTTGGGAATTAAGTTTATGCATTGGACAGAAATCATTAATTTACATCAACACAGTCTGTTAGTGGCTCACATAACTCCAACGATTTTCACACAAAAAAACTTTAACATGGGGATGGAATGTTTAGGTTGTATTAACCGTCAAGGCCACAACAACAAAAAAATATTTTGATTTAATTTTACAACTCACATTGTCCTTTCCGTTAAGAATTTTTTCGGGCTTTCGAGGTATTCCTGGCCAATCTTTGTTAGGAAACTCCAGACATGGGACAAGATCAATGCTGACTTTTCTGTTTTGATCCTTGAAAATCAAAGTCCAAGCTGGTCCCGACTGCCGAATATCCAACTGCAAAAAGCACATTTATCTTTATCTTACACTAATTTTGACAGAAATGTCAAACTATGTTCCACCTTTGACGATTGATAAAACTGAAGTATTCAAAAGTCAATGGTTCCGCGTAATTATCACATAACATCAATAATAACTTTTTTTCAACAAAATGTATATCTGCTTGGATTTTAGCACAAATAATTGTTGCGATGCAAACTGTTTTAATAGATAGAGAAGCGTTTTAAGGAACTTAATCTTTTAAACATGGTTGGATAGTTCTCTGTGAAAATCTTTTAGTCGAGAAAGTAATTACTATTTAACCTTCTAAATGTCACCTTGTTTTTGATTTGACACACACCAGAACTTTAATAGAAAAATATCTACTGTTTTGCCTGTTTCAGCAAAAAGACATTACCAACCCACATTAACTAACCCAAAAGTTAAAAAAATAAATATTTATTTTTACCAACCAAACCATTTTAACCGATTGTACCAACCAAAATACTTTCAAAACCAACTGCTATTTAACACATTCGCTGCGGCCCACCAATGGCAGTCAAACAAACCCGATTTCTGGGTGATCTTTTAAATATTTCTTTTATATATTCTTTGGGTGGCTTTTAACCCTTTGAGTGCCAACGTCCGGGGAACCGGACGTTTTTAAAACGAGCCAAAAGTGCCGACGTACGGCCGACCGGACGTTTTTAGAACGAGCCAAAAGTGCCAACGTCCGGCTGACCGGACGTTTTGTAATGATCGAACAGTTGTCATAACAACCGAATGGATACTCGGATTCTTTTAACCCATATATTAACATTGAGTCGAAAGTTACTAGATGCGATACATCGATTTTCGTTGGTCGAAATATCGAAAATTCGATTTTTACTAAATTTTAACCTAAAAACCGCCAGATCGCGCTCGGCATTTTTAGCGCGACCATCGGGAAAAATCATCGGCATTTTTTGAGCGTTACTTTTATTTCTCGCCTGGCACTCTAAGGGTTAAATAATTTGGTCTGACTACAGTATTAGCAAATGCGCGCGGTGATGTGCTGCGTTACGACGAGGTTTGACGTAGTGCGCTAAAACACCCACAGATAGCAGCACTGCTTGGAACGTAGCCGGTCCCATTGTACTGCCAATTGGAGGGAAAAAAGGAACAAGTTGATTTCTAAGCTTGCCAGACAGGGATTTTAGGGGAAAATTTACTACCAACCTACACAACAATTATAGACGCAATAATAACGTGTACCAACCGTCCTCAACTATATCCTTAGCCATACCAACTGGGCAAAAAATTTATTGCACACTGTGTCCCCGGTGACGCAGCCTTTTCGAACCCCGGCACGCCATGCGTCATCGGGGACGCAGCTGCAGCGAATGTGTTAATAGCCAAAGATAAACAAATACCATAGTGTTTTATTTTATCCAAGAGTGACAAAACTTTTGTATTTCAGCAAACTTCACTTAATTAATACAGTAGAACCTCGCTAATTCAAATTTCAGAAGAAAGACAATATATTTGAATTAGTTTGAAAGTTTGAAATATAGAGAGTTTGAATTATAGAGGTCAGATAAATAAAATTCAAATTATGGAGTTCCCAGTTTTAAGTGTAAAGAGTTTGAGAGAACTGAGACTAATGAACACATTGTGGGAACATCAATAAGAGCATCAGCTTATGTTTGAACAGGCATATTTCTGTTCTAAATTTGAATTACAGAGGCTTACGGTAATGCAGTTCGAATTGTAGAGGTTGACTTTGAATTTTGAAGGTAACAATTCAAATTATGGCAACATAATTCTAATTGTAGAGGCTCAAGTATGTGCAAATTCGAATTGTAGAGGCTGCATTAAGAGTAAAAATCACTTTGAATTATCGGTATATTATTTTTCCAATTTTAGAGGTTTTCTGAGGGGAACAGATAAACGTTTCTAATTATAGGGGTTTTTGAATTATTGAGGTTCGAATTACCGAGGTTCTACTGTAATTCTTTAGTTCAAAATAGACGTTTTAATGTTTCTAAGTGTATTTTGTTTGAAAGAAAATTTACAATATTTAAACTCCACAATTCACTAGTTGAAAATATTTGCATCTGCCATTAATATTATAACATTTCAATTAAGCTGATATTAAAACATTAGAAAACTGACTAGTTATGTTGAAAAGAACTAACACAAAATAACATTCATTGGTTCATACAAGTGTGTTATGCATTAACACACTGCACATGTAATTAACCACTTGCACTGATAAAAATCAATTGTGGTAGGCAGACTGTTTTGTACATTTGATAAGACCAATCATAAAAGCATCCTGAGTTCTTATCATCTGTGCACCAAGTGTGGGGAGTCTTATCTATAACTAACTACCTCAAGCCACACTTAACTGTGGCATAAATTGAAAAATAAGTTTTCTAATGTGCAAAAAGTTACTATATTACAGTAATAGATCCACAATAGTATTTCATTTATGTGCTTTTTTGTTAAAGTGAATCATCCAATTTCTTATTACAATGAAACAAAAAATCGGGACAAATATTGGTTATATAAACCAATTTAATGATGACTTTGCCTGTTATTATTTTATATCTAGATCTTTTATTGTAGATGTGTAGACAAAATCAAAATATGCAGTAAATTACACTTGTTAGCAACTACTTCTGTGAGCAAAACTCAACAAATATATTGGGAAAAATTCATAAATCCCGGAAAAAAGCATGAACACTTTTTGATAGCACCGTAAATAGAGGGTTTAGAATCCTGTCTTGGTCCAGTCTAATGTGCAAGTTGAATACAACACTGCCACAGGCAGAGCTAAGATGGCTTTAGAAAGGCTCACCTACATAAAATATAAACTTTAAAGGTCTGAGGTGGATGTATGAGCTAGGTGAAAAGTGCTTGTGTGCATTTTGTTACTTTTTACTCAGCTTAATCTGTTTGTCAATCAGATAGTAAAAACTGATCTTACCATATGTACTATCTTTTTAAAATACATTAAAAAATCACAGCACAATATGAAGAAAGTTACCTTGAAGTCTTTTATTAATTTTTCTTCAACAATTTTGTCTCTTGCCTTGATAACAATTCCTTGAAGCCAAGATTTAACTTGATCTATCTTGAGAAAATAGCGATTGGATTCTTTCTCATGGTGTAACCAATCCTTGTATGGCTTTATTTCACAGTTTTGATCTTTTATTCTGAAATTAAAATATCAAAGTTGAGTACAATGAATACACTAGGTATTTGCGATACACAAGACTCCCTTTTGTTTGGACAACATAGAATCAAGCTTTTGTTGCATTTTGTAATTCATCATTTTGTATTCCTCCCTCAAGCTGCTATGAGAAGTACAAAAAAAAACCACTGGGTATGATTAAAACCACACATTATAAGTACAAGACAAGTAAACTGCAAAATTCATGATCACAGCAGAAACATCTTTATAGACCAAAAAATGTCTAGACAAGCTACAGTTTTGCCAAATAATTTGACCAACTATTGACAAAATTGTTAGTGTTATGACATTATTTGTTTAAGTTTTTTGTAGATATGGACAAAGAGTGGCATGAATGTGCAAATGTCATGGAATGTGGGTGTTTGAACCATCCAAATTATAAAGTAAACGGATCCAAAAAAAGAAGTTGACTGTATTTGATTCTATTTTAACAAATTCACAGAATCTTTATTTTTTCCTTGTAGCTACATTAAAACTTCCAAAACCACAAACATTTCACACAAAAATACCCAACAATAAATACCTGCAACAAAATAAAAAATAAATACAAATTTTGCCTTATTGTGGAAATAAGTGCGGAATTATTTTAAACAATCATAGACTGATTAACAATTAAGTAAAAGAAAAACACAAAAACACATAGGCTGATATAAATTCTCAAGTAGATTAAAATATTGTCACAAACAAATTGGGAACCTCCTCCTTTTGTTGGTAGTGGGGAAGTTGGTTAAAAATTGTCTAATGATAAGTAAGCTGCCACCAACACTAAACATCAAGCTTAATGGAACCTTGATTGAAAATTTAAACAACTCATACACATTTTGTAATCTGTAATCATGCAAATATTTGTAATGACTTGTGATACTGAAGTAAAAATGTCATTCAAATAAACCACCTAAAGCCAGATTTTTTCATCAAGTATTATTGCAAGATGCTCTTAGAATGCTACTGTTGAAATTATTTTTTACTTGTCCCCCTATACATAGTATAAAGTATTGTTTCTGTCAAATTTTTGAGTTTGCATTTAGGGTGGATCCATTTTGGGTCCCCCTGAACCCAAAATTGTGGTTTTCGGAGTGATGTATGTGTGTGTGTGGATGTGTACAGAGCTACAGACAGACTACACCTGTTGTCCGATGAAATTTGGTAATTGTGTTCTAATCCATGGTATCTCCAGGTGCTTTTATTATTTTTTTATTTAGATTTATAAATGTGATTTTTTTATAAAAATCCTTAAAATAATGCAAATACCAAATTTTCTCAAAATGGCTTCAACGATTTTGATGAAAATCGAGTAGGCTATGTTATAGTCCTTTAAATTCTAAAAAAAAGTACAACCCCCATTGCCGTAACAATTAGGGTTCAAAAGCAATTGCGGCATTTGTGATTTTTCCCATAAAAATCATAGTTAATCCCACCGCTTATAAGGGTTGTTGAGAGGCAACGGGAAAAGGTACCGGTATGTGTCAGATTGCTAATACAGTTTATTTTATTTTAGCTTTTCATACATTGATGAGAGATGGAAACATAACAGATGTTATGATTTATAATAAGTTACCCTTTATTTAGGCACAATAAAAAATTGGTTTACAAGACTTTTAAACCAATTTAAAATAGTGTTCTCTTTCTTATACTAGAATATAATATAATATAATATCTTTTATATTAGAAAGAGAACACTATTTTTACAGCAGCACATTCTGTTCATGGCCTAAGATTTTTTCATTATAAAACTGGCATTATATAAACTTAACATAAGATTGGAATGTCTACTTATTTGTAGTATAGGCCTATCTATTGTCAAATTTACATTTGCACTAGGCCTAATTGCATTTGAATTTTGAAGCAACATGATTCCAAAAGAGAAAACACTTTTTAGGAAAGGAGATGCTAAGAAAATGAAATCTACTCACACTTCAATTGCTATATGCCCGGCAGGCGCATACTTCTGAAAAACAACATTAAGATGAAAGCATGCAAATGACATGTTTATAAAAATTGATCTACATAGGTGCGGTGAATGATTGTAAAACATGCATGTAATATTTTGAGGTGTTTCAATACCGCTTATTATGTTTTTGAAATTTTTCTTCACTAACAATTTTTGAAACACCCTTTGGGACCTTAACCCCGTACAATGCCACATGTACCCCATACCAACCCCATGTATAATAGGCCATACCGTATCCATTATGAGTAGCATACCCGAACCAACATTTACAACTCTACAAGGTTTTTCCATAAATTACAACAAAACAAAGCACAAAGAAACACCATAACCATGACAGACAACCCCACATAAACGGCACAACGCAAAAAAACTAAACAATTCCTACTTAACCTTACCTAACCGTAAAAACACAAAATTAAAAATTAACAATAATAATTAATAGACAACAGCTGTTATGTTACATAATTTCGAACCACTATTACACTTGGTCTTTGGAATCACCAGTACTTTCATAGTTTGATTAATGTCTGATGATTAAGACTTACAGAAAAAGTGACTTTGCTTGGCCACGTTTTCTGTAAGTCTAATTTTTTGTATTATTCTAATCTGGTGTGCAACTCATAATATCACACGAGAAGCTCACATAAAAAAGAACTATTTTTAAATTTCCATAAAATCTACTGAGACAGTGATTTGTTGAACAAAGAAAATGACCCACAAAACCAAACAAACTACCATAGGACAACCCAAGAAGTAAAGTCTTACCTTCTTCCTGACTGGTTTCATCTTTAATTCAGGATTAATTATAACATTGAGATCGTATTCATCTGCACTCGATATTTTCAAGCCTTCAAAAAAACTCCCTGTGTACAGTATCTTCCTGAATATTTTCTTGAATGTATCATCAACTTCTTTCATTTGTTTCGTAAAAACATGTATAACCTTCAACAAAAATTACAATATTATATTTATATTTATAAATTCCTAATTATATTTTTTTATGTTTTTTACAATTAAAATATATCCCTGCTGCAGCAAACCTCCAGACTAAGCAAATTTCCTGGTCGGATTTACATTAAAATATATCCTTAAAAACATCACATTTATTCCCTATTTAAATAGCATTAGTTTAACAAGTACTACGTTTGCTGCAACAGGGCCGGAGGGTAAAAAAGTGAGTTTTTTGTAAAATGTTAATAGTTTAGTAGTGAAACAAATGCATTTTCCAAATTTGATCAAAATATTTTCAGAAACAAGCAAACTACAACAGTTTACTTATTCTCCTTAAGACTAACATGGAAATTTTAAATTAACGACTTTTTGGAATATACTCCCTAACCCTATGTGCATAACAACGCTTCAATATACTAAATTACCTATTTGTCTTTTAAGCTCTACAAAAATGGTTTGAAAAGAAATTAAAAGAAATTAAAATGTTATGTTTTTAGCATCAAATATAGGGTGGCTGAAAAGTAACTTGCACCCCCACCTAACTTTTCAACCATTTGAGACATTTGAAATCGGTTTGCGGCAACCTTCTTAGATATGAGGGGTTACAATAATTATGGTCATTTTTGAAAATTTTACCCTTAGGGGTAGCGGGGGTAGGGGGTAGCTCAAAATTTTCAAGTGACAAGTATAGGTTTGTTAATAATATAGTTTGGTATCATTTTACAGGTCTTGACGAAACAAAACAAATAACATAAAGAAAAAAGAAAGAGATATTTGTTTTATTTTAAACATAACCAGTTTTAAATTGTAACTCTTTTGTTACACAATTTTTTTATGTAGGGCTTATTTTGTTAATTTGTGTTCATACAAAATATAATATAACAGCTTATAATTAACTTGGTTAATTAACTTTTCCTCTGAGCGTCTACTTAAGAACTACCTAAATAAGTTAATCAAAACGTATATTTTTTCCGTCACCTATTTTATAAGAAATGTCCATGTAAAATAAGCAATTACTTTTTTTAAAAGGACTGACAAAATGTTAGATTTCCTATAGCCTAAGTACAAATCTCATTTACCTAAAAAATGTAAAGTTACCTTAGCTGAAATTTCTAAAACTTACCTCCTGAAAATATTTATTGACAATTTTTATTTCATCTTTAGGTATTCTAACACTTCTGGTATGAATTTCTTCAACCATTTCATTTAACATGTCATACTTGGAATTTAGAAGAATATCTGTAGTGGTATCATGATCTGTACATTCATCCATGGTTTAAAATTTACCTTACTTTCCTGAAAAAAGTGAAAGTTTATTTAAGTTGTTTGTCAAAAAGTCATACAAGAGATGAGCAGAGAACTAGCAGACAAACATAAAATATTGTGCAATGTGCAATGATACCCAAAAGATATATTTTTAAGATTGTGCAATATCAAACTTTTTGGAATCACTCAATATATTTCACAATCTTATTTTTCAACCTCAATCTAGCTTTGTACATACATACAATATGGCCTATATTTACAATAATATTATTGTACAACTATTTTTTACCCGAGGCTTCGACTGCATGGTATAAACACAAATATATCATAGTGAAAAATATCTGTAATGGTATCATGATCTGTACATTGAACCATGGTTTGAATTTACTTTACTTTCCTGAAAAAGGTGAAAATTTATTTAAGCTGTTTGTCAAAAAGTCATGCAACATATGAGCAAAGAACTAGCAGACTTACAGAATATTGTAAAATGTGCAATAACCAAAAGATGTAATACTTTTAAGATTGTGCAATACCTATCCAACTTTTTGTAATCATTCAATTAAATTGCACAATCTTATTTTTCAACCTCAATCTAGCTTTGCACACAGTCAATATTATTGCACAACTAGCTTTTACCCGATGGTAAACATAAATATATCATACAGGATAAGAACACAATCTAAATCAAAACAGGCGACCCAACTGGATGCTTGGCAGTTTTTTTTTTTTTTAATTCCATCCCAATTCTTTATTTTATTACTGTCCCATTATTTTTTGTAATGTGCCCACCAATTTATAATGTGTACTACTGAAAAAAAATAATCAAAACTATCCCAACAATATTTTATTTCTCTTGGATGTCAAAAATTAAAATTTACAGGTTTGTCAAGTATATGTGTAGTAACGACGATTACTTACAAGTGTAGCTGAAGGGAAGGAAATGGTTGCCCTCTCTGTATCCAGAGCACTGGTGAGTCAAACAACAGAGTCTGTAGTCTGTGAAACTGTTTAGTCTAGCGCTAGTGTTATCAAAGAGCCACGTCAGCCTTCCTGGAATAAGTAACAGATGTAAAGCACAGCAACTTATATCAAGGGCATATTAAATATGAGTCATTTTATTGGTAACTTTATCACTACTATCACTACCAGAGTACAACATTGACCCTGAGATTAATTGGTTTAAGTGGTTTGGTTAGTCATCAGTCAAAATGTCAATGTTGCACTGAATATAATGATTTTAAAAAACTAGTTGAATGAACAGGGACAAAATTATCAAAATTATAATAAATTTTAAAAATATATGTCACTAGATTTTAATCAAACATAGACATTGGGATATCTCTCTTGAACATTTTGTATTTTGCATAAAAATCTTACATGAAACCAACAAAGCTGAGCAAAATGTCAAAATCTTCAGGATTTATAAAAGAACCAATGCAATACAATAACGTGTTCCATACAATAACACTGATCACTTGTGAGATATAGTAAGCTTCCAATAATTTCTCTGTAGTTAGAATTATCATCATCAGATTTTAAATTTTTCCTACAGTTACCTAACAATGTACATGTTCTCTCACTGATTTGAGAAAGCAAAGTGGCCAATTCGCTCATCAGTGAGACAATGTTAACATTGTCTCACTCTAATTACTTTGTCTCACTCCAGATTTGCAACGTGAAGGCACGAAATAGTGGACGCGTAACGTGCAGGCAACGTCGTATGCGCGCGAAGTACGTTGGCAGCACTGGCTGTAAATCAGCTGGTCAGCTGTTGTACTGTTGTATTTGTCACTTCTCATTAAATGTTATATTAAAAGATCACTTCTGTGTAAAAATAGGTTATGTCTCTTCACCAATTTGTTTGTTTTATGGTAACTGTAGGAAAAGTATAATGTGCAACTCGAGTTCAAAGTACAATTGCCTCACTCGAGAAACCATTCCTCACTCGCCTACGGCTCGTGAGTAAGGATTTCTCTCGAGTGAGTCAATTGCTCACTTTTCTCCCTAGTTGCACAAATAACTATTTTTCTTCCTGATTTTGTGGTGATATTGGGGTTTTAACTGACTTGCAATCTGCCATGTTATATTTTTCCAGCACTTGTTTAGCATACTTCTCTTGGGATATGTACACACCATAATTTCCCTTTTTTATCGAATCGATATATCGATCGATATTTTCATTCGAATGAGTGTAGGACGTAAAGTAAAGTGCAGCCAAATAACATAATATGAACAGTAGTAACCCAAAATAACATTTACATTTAAAAAATCTTATATCCTCAATTTGGTAATTATGTCGACCTCCAGTCAACACTCTAAAAATTATTTTTTTTTTTTTAATCTGTTCGTTTTTTAGTGCTGATTCCAAAAATGATATAATTTTTTTTGCGGAAACGTCCCGTTTTCCCCAAAAATGGGAAAAATCTTTTTTTTGCCCAAACCCCATGTTGTGGGTACTCAAATTGTGCGGAAATTCCTCCTGAACAAGAATATGTAATTTTTATTACGATCGGACCACTATTAAGTAAAATATCACCGGAAAAGCGGCCGCTAAGTAATTATGTACTGCCGCATGGCGCTAGCAGTACTAGCAGTAATTTAACCGAACCAAACTTAACCTAACCAAATCAAACTTAACCTAGCCAAACCAAACTTAACCTAACCAAACCAAACTTAACCTAACCAAACTTACTTAAACTAACTTATCCTAACCTAAACTAACCTGACCTAACCAAACTTAACCTAACCTAAACTAGCCTAACCTAACCAAACTTAACTTAACCTAACCTTAACTAACCTAACCTAACCTAACCAATCCTAACCCAAAATAAAGCCCGTATTCCACAATGGCTTAGAGTCACCCGCAATGCTAGCGCCATGCGGCAGTACATAATTACTTAGCGGCCGCTTTTCCGGTGATATTTTACTTAATAGTGGTCCGATCGTAATAAAAATTACATATTCTTGTTCAGGAGGAATTTCCGCACAATTTGAGTACCCACAACATGGGGTTTGGGCAAAAAAAAGATTTTTCCCGTTTTTTCCAAAAAATTATATCATTTTTGGAATCAGCACTAAAAAACGAACAGATTAAAAAAATAATTTTTAGAGCGTTGACTGGAGGTCGACATAATTACCCTAAAGGTAAATAGAAAGGTTATTCAAAAGTAAGTAGGTAGTAAAATTTACAATGGCATACCTACCAATCAATGATGGTGTTATACAATGGGTAAGTTTAAGTTACATCGTTCTAGAGTTAAAATAAACCTAACGATTTGTTAAATAAGCATTTATTGTTCCTTAAGTACTTAAAAACAACCAATTACAATTATTATCTCTCATCACATTCGTTTACACAACTTTTAAATAAAATAAAATACAGAGAAATAAACAATAAATTTGCCCTATTGTTAAGAATACCTGTTATTGTTGGGACGTTTGACGTTGGGTTATATTCAGTGTCGGTCAGGGTCAGAAGTCCAGGGCTTTTTGCTAGAGGTGAGTAAACTCCGGAACGAACTACTCCGACTCCGGAACGACAAGTCCAACTCCGGCTCTTGGATCGGAGTTAGTTCCTCTCGGAACTAAAGATAGTCAAGAGACCGTCATTGGTTAAGATACTTTATGTATGACTGGAACGACTCACTCACTGCCCTACTGTTCGTCATTCCTGACTCCACTAACTATGGTCATTCTAGCCTAGCTTAATCATTATTAATTCCGCTTGTTCAATAACGATTACTGGATGGAATGGAACCAGGAACTATCATCTATCATCCAGAGGTGATGCGAAGAGGAACGACGGACTGGAACTATGAGCTCTGAACCAACCAAAATGGTTGGTGAGTGATTCTGAGTGGAAGCGCTCCACTCCGAAAGTCCGGTGTTCAGCGCTCTTCTAAACGGAGTTGGAACTACTCCGCGGAACTAGTTCCGACAACTCAATAACTCCGGAGTGAACGACTCCACCAAGTGAACGATAATTCCCATCTCTACTTTTTGCCTTTGCTTTAACAGCAGATTCAGATTGTGGGAGTGGGAGATTACTGTGTTTACAGTTACACTACAGTAGCTTTTTTTCCTTGCCGATAAGGTGGTCTGGGTATTTTTACCCATGAGACCTCAATGTTCTTAGGTCTCTGGCGTGGCACCTAGGCTGGGGAGAGTGGAGACTCGAGTGGAGTGGAGACTGGATTGAGAGTGGAGGTGGAGCAACGACCGTCTCACCGCAGTAATAGTAATAAATCCTACTTTTTAACTTTGGGAACTTGTTTCTAGTGTCTGTAACAGACTACTGCTTTCTCAGTAGTAAAAAGGAACTGAATAAATGTAACAACTACAACAAGAAGCATTCTAATAAAAGGTTAAATACCTGTAGTACTTGTCCGTGATCCTGTTTTAGGTCAGCGACCCAGGTTTCGAACCTAAAGGTTCATTTTCAAGCTGATACCATGGTTAAACTCCTTCTAAACACATAAATCCTCTTCATAACTGTGAAGAGTCGTTGAAGACACGAACACGAAAACACAAACATTTAACAAAATTGGCCAATTAAATAATACTGGTACGGTAGCGTGCGTGGTGTAGCCGGCAAAAGATGAGTCATGACTAGTCATGACTCATCTTTTGCCGGCTACACCACGCACGCTACCGTACCAGTATTATTTAATTGGCCAATTTTGTTAAATGTTTGTGTTTTCGTGTTCGTGTTCGTGTCTTCAACGACTCTTCACAGTTATGAAGAGGATTTATGTGTTTAGAAGGAGTTTAACCATGGTATCAGCTTGAAAATGAACCTTTAGGTTCGAAACCTGGGTCGCTGACCTAAAACAGGATCACGGACAAGTACTACAGGTATTTAACCTTTTATTAGTAAATTACGTGATTCAGAGGCTAAACATGTTGAAAGAAGCATTCTTTAGCCTGCCCTTACTTTGCCCTTTACTTGTCTTGTTATCTATTGTTTGCTTATTATATTGTCGTTTTTGCCCTGTCGTCACTCCGTCACTCCGATAGTTATCTCCCTCTTCATAATTAATTAATTGTCTCACCAGCAGTTTTAGGCTTGTATATTATATAAGTAATGACTTTAAAATACTTAAGTTAGATAGCCTATTGTAATTAAGGATGTGCTAGGCCTGTAGCAGTTGTATCCTACTTTTTATGATTTTGAAGATCTCACAAGGATCATAACAAATAACCCTCTAACCTACATTTTGTATTCATATTTCTGGATTTATGAACTTAAAGCTATTTATGAACTCAGCGATTTTTACATTAAATCGAGGCAACCTTAAAACAAGAATTTCAGGTACCGGTTAGGCCTAAAGGCGTTTATCCCAAAAGTTCCAAAGAAAAAGTGCTTAAATAGAATTTACTAATTTAGCTAATAAAACCAAGTTTAAAAAACACCTATGAGTAGCTTAAGTTCACAATACTGTATACCCATATTTCTTTAATTTATGGAAACATCAACCAACTCATGAGTAGTAATATAGGACTAGACCACAAAATATTACAGGGATTCGGGGATTCCTTTTCTCTCCAGTGTTGTGAGGGAGTCTTATGCTAGCTATAGCTATTACTTCCTGTAGGCAGAGTCCCGAGTCACGACTCACGAATGGCGAAGAGAGGGACGAGGGACTATGTATCAGGAGCGGTTCCATCCAATCTATTCAACACAAAGATTCAAAGATTTTATTTTCACAGAGTGACATTTAACGCAAATGTAACAGTTGCAGTTCCAAAAAGAGTAGGATTTATTACTGCGGCGAGACGGTCGTAAGGAGCATTGGATCAGTGTTGCCAATATGTCTGTTCTGTGGCCCTTGATTGTTTTGGATCAAAACAAATTTTTATAAACATAATCTATTTATTTAACTAAATTAGTAGCTTAGACAAAATACAAGTAATATTTTCTGTTACATGCATAACATTAGTTCATTTGAAATACTAGTGGTACAATCAGTACATGTATATGACCCTTAATATTGGACCAAAAACACTAGCCTATGTGTGCATTATTTAGTTTTCTTCTTAGTAAAAAAAAATAATAATCACAAAATATTAATTTAACTACGCACTTAGTAATAGTTATTACTATGTAGTTATGTACTAACACATTTGTTTCTGCTAAAACCACTTAACGGGTAATCAATTAACCTGAGCTTCATGCAGTTGGCAAATCATTTCCTGGGGAGTTTCATTACAAATCAAACACTTTAAAATAGCTGTATTGAGTAACAAATCATTTAAAGACTTAGTAAGATCAAGCTCGTGTCCTTCATTGCTTTCAGATGGCATTCTTGATTTGGATTCAAAGACATCACTAGTAACGAATGTTTTACTAGGTTTAGCAGCATAAGTGTGATCATTTTCAACGTTTTTCTGTGCATTGTTTAAAAAACTATTGGTGGAACAAGTTTGGACGAGACCAAAGTCAGACCCACATGTGTTTAAATAGTTATCATTGTCAATTAAATAGGTTCCCCCTGAATGTAAAGTGATTGTTTCATATTCTTCATCTCCGTCATCGTGGATCACTAAAGTGCCCTCTTGATCTTCATCTAAAGCTATTACATTCACTTGAGTAATATAATCTTCATTTAGGTGGAAGGCTATTTGATCTTCACTACCATTTTCTTGAACCGATTCTTGAGTGATGTATGGTGAGAGGTCAATAATGTTCTCTTGGCAAGAAATTGATTCTTCAATTGGTTCAAATTGGGATTCAGCTACAGCTGTTTTACAAAACATCAAAACGTCATTAAAGGATTTGGTTACTACATCTCTCAACTGATTCATATTGTCTGGTGGTTTGGGAGTTGGATATGAAATGTGACTAGGCCATCTTTTCTTAACCTCAAGTTCTTCATCTATATTTACTCGATTGTGGATTGATCCCACAGAAGCAAATTTACGAGTCGCTGATCGTGTCATTACTGATGACACATCGATATCCATTTTTCTCTCCTGAAACAGAGTTTTACAATTCATTAGTCAATAATACTACATGTTACTTAAGCTGTACATTAATGAAGGGTTAGTCTACATTCTACAATGGAATGGGATCACCTATGGAGCTTTTTTACCAAGACCAGCCTTCTCTTTAGCCAAGACCATTTCATTGTGTCCTTATAGTCATTGCACTTACTTCCATTTTTCTTGTGTTTGATCATATAAGCATTACCAGCTTTTAAACAGAGCCAGTTTTTTGTTTTGTCTCAATGATTTTAGTCCTAACCATTGCCTTTTAAGACATTAACTAGGATTATCCAAATTTTTGTTTGGTCTTTTTAACCCACTGACGTCGAGTAACGTGTGTAGCCCGTCACTGGAGCTGAATTAGTTTGTCAAATATAATCACCAAGCGCTAGTGTCGTTGTGTGATTATGTATTATAGGCAATCAATGCAATAAGTAGTTGGTGGCGCTGCCTACAAATAGACAGGAAAGCTCTCTCCGAGTACTTAACGCTTTTTACCATGCGGTTGGCATTCTGGGTTATAGTAGTATGTTTGTGCTAGCACTGAAAGGGTTTAACCATCCATAAAATTTGGTATAATGATAGCCAACATTCCTGATTAACATATAGAAATATTCTTATCTCAAAAATCCTTTCGAGCTCCGCTCCAGTGGCTCTGGAATTTCTCATGTTAAGAGTCTTCCGTAGTGGAAGCCATGTTGGATTTCTTCCCCATAAGAACAATGTAAGAACATTACATCATTTGTGGACACGTAACGGCGTTATTTGTTAAGATATAGCTTTGAAATTTATAATTTGTATTTTTAACATAATAGACTCGTGACTGAGGTTTTTGAATTTCTAAAATCCATTTTCATTTCCTTTCAATAATTAGCTTAATTTTAAGCTAATTAATAATCAATTATTCATTATAAAAATTAAAAATTGTGAAATAAAAAACGTCAATCTCTAGAGGACCGCAATTCCTTAAATTTAACTCCTTATCCATAATTATATGACAATTTGCTTATGAGATATTTGGACCCAAAGTTAACATTGTTCTTATGGGGAAGAAATCCAACATGGCTTCCACTACGGAAGACTCTTAACCTTATGAGTATCTATAATATTAAAACGAAACAGGGTTTTTTTATTTCACGATTCTGAATCAACCACTTGACCGATTTTCATGGTTTTTGTGTTGAAAGAAAGATAATTTTGAGAACTAGGGAATGTCGAAGCCATGATTTTAATTTAGGGTTTCAGTTTTTTAGAAATTTAGTTTAAGTTTTTAAAAAGTCTAGCAGCCGACGCTGGCAATTCAAAGTATTTTCAGTGCTGGTTAAACTAACAGCTGGTTATAAACTGTCATTGAAATGTTTATGTTACAAGTTGTTTGTACACAAAAATATTGTTCTTCGGTGTTGGCCTGCATACTATTTCACTTTAAAATTTAGTTTTTTTTTTCTATCGTGAAGGATCTGCTTTATCAGGAAATGTGTTATTTTGATCTATACATCTCAAACAGTTTAATCAAGTTTTGTCGTAAATGCAAACTGTGTAAGTAAGTTATTTAGTTTATGCCATGAAAATTTCATCTCATATTTGGGAAATCTTTTTTCAGAGATTTAATGCTTAATCGTTTAAGATATAAGTGGTTTACGTGTTGATACTTCCGAATGTATACTATAATACTATAATTCATACTATAATTCATACTATAATTCTGGTTAGTAATGAAAACGTCAATTGGTGTAGTAGGTCTCTATAAAACTGTCCAATGAGCTGCAAGGTGCAGTAGAAAGCAAAGTCGACTCATACCATACCACAACTCCCCCTGTAGTATTGAAAAGTGCAGACAAAATATACAGACCAGTTCAAGATAACGGAGGTCGAGATAAAAACAAACAGAGAGCTAAGAGAAATGTGTAAACACCCAGATATAGGGGTGCTTTCCAGAAGTAAAAGGCTTGGATAGGCAGGCTATGCGTGGTGGATAGGAGATAAATCAACTTTTAAAAGTATATTCCATAGTACCACAAGATAAAAGACCACTTGGAAGACCAAGAATTAAGTGGAAAGACCAAGTTATGAAATGCATCCTCAGACCGGGATCTAAATTAGAAGAGACAGGGGATGGAAGAGAATGGGTGGCCAAAATCCTCATAAGGTGTCAGTCTGTGGTCACGGAGGTAAAGGTGCGGTAAGTACATATATAAGTGGTATATGCAATTGTAGCAACTCTACTCAATACCAGTGTGTGTGAATCGGTCTCCAATCTCACTTCAAGTCTTTTCAAATCGACGCAACTGCTATTTTATGGTAAAATTATCGAATTTAATATGCATATCGCTATATTTTAGGTCTATAATCGGATGGAAGAAATAGGTAGTCACGTGACATTATTTTGTTAATAAGGTCAACAACTAAAAAATAACAATTAATTGTTAATTAGGTGGTTTTGGGGGCAGTTGGCCCCCATTAAAACTGCCAGAATTTGTCACTGTGCGTGTAAACTAGATGTTCTGAACTATTCTGTTTTAATTGACTACTCGATTCCCGTACGTAGGACGGGCCAACAGCTCGTTCATATTTAAATGGAATTGAATAATTTTGTCAGCTGTTTCAACTACACACTACACAAGTCGGTTCTATGATATTAACTAGTATTAAAAAGTAATAAGGTTTACCAACAGGGTGCAGAACCATTAATTATTTTTGCATTTATGACATAACCAAATTTTCTTAAACTGTGTCCTCTCCCATTGCAAACACAAAGCACGAGTTAACTGCAAAAATAATTTTATAATCATACGCCAACCCCGTAGGAAGGACGGGTACTCTGCTAGTCTCATCATAAACAATAGCGCATTCCCTGGCAATATAACCAAAAAGTAAAGCACAAATCATAAAATTAAAGTAATAGAAACCAAATTTTGTAGACACTAGCACTCAGTGCCGGATTTAGGGTACTTGCGGCCATAGGCCAAATTACTTGAGCGGCCCTCCCCCTGTGGTGGAAATTCCTTGCGATCGCGGAAGTAATTGTGAATATCTCCTATGCATCAAGGGGCATCATCATTGACACCCGTGATCATGGATGAAATCGTGAACATCTCTCCTAAACCAAGTCAAAGCCATCATAGGTATCCGTGACCGCGGCTAAATCTTTAACAACAAAGGGCAAAATCTTCCCCCGCGGGCTACAACAAAGGGACATTATCCTCGACACTCGCGACCACGGCGAAATCTTGATCATATCCCGTGAGCTGTGACCTTGAGGACATCATAACCGTTGCCCGCAACCGCAGTAAAATAGTGAACATCTCCCGCGGGCCGCAATCACATGGACATCATCATCGACACTCGCGACCATGCCAAAATCGTTAACATCTTCCGCAAAGCAGCAATCACAGGGACATCAAAATCGACACTTGCGATCGCGGCAAAGTCGTGTTAAAAACATCTCCCGTGGGCTGCGATCATCATCATCATTGTCTCCCGCGGCCGTACCGAAATCGTAAACATCCCCCTCGGGAAGCCATCACGGGGACATCCTCATTGACACCTTTAGCCGTGGCGAAATCGTTAACATCTCCCGTGAGCCGCAATCACGGTGACATCATCATCAACACTCGTTACAGCGGCTAATTCTTGAACGTCTCCTGCGGGATTCGATTATGAGGATACATCACCGTCACCCGCGGCCACATCTAAATCGTGAACGTCTTCCGCGGGCCGCAATCATGCGGATACATCACCGTCACCCGCGGCCACATCTAAATCACGAACGTCTCCCGCGGGCCGCAATTATGAGGATACATCACTGTCACCCGCGTCCGTTGCTAAATCGTGAACGTCTCCCGCGGGCCACAATCATGAGGATAGATCACCGTCACCCGCGGCCGCGGCTAAATCGCAAACGTCCGCCGCGGTCCTCAATCACGGGTACATCATCATCATCGACACTTGCGACCGCGGTGAAATCGTGAACATCTCCCTCGGTCGGCTGAGACATCATTATGGTCACCTGTGATCGCGGCAATCTAGTGGTTTAAAATAAATAATTTTTTATCTATAAAAATGTTTTTCTCAATCCTCTGCGGCCCCCTTTTGCTTGCGGCCCTAGGCCGCGGCGGCCTAGTGGTAAATCCGGCACTGCTAGCACTCAGTGTCACCAACATGAACTAAATATGAAAAACAAGCTTCAGATTTTAAAATTAGATGAGAAGTCTACTTGGGTTGATTAGTCTATGCTAATACTCATAACCCTTGGCCCAAATACAACAAATAGGACTGAGACCTTTCCCATTTTTGAAATTAATTCAGCCAAATTTGTAACATTTCCATCTGAAGGTAAACCACCCTATAGAGCCCAACCTAACCATTTATCCTTACCTAAAAAAGTGACTTGCACAGCATAGAAAAACTTTATGGAATTTAATTGTACTCTGTACCCACACTTGTAAGTATTCAGAAAAAAATAAAAGGAGATCTTTCTCAGTTGTGAAGAACTTTCCTTGTGAGTGTTAAAGAATTCCCTTTAATTAGAACCATTTAGTAATTAATTTTTAAAAGTTAAAATAATACAAAATAAAAAATGTTTCTGCCTAGTAGGTAAGTTATATTCAACTACTGTAGGACATTTTTTTATCGGTTGGTAATGGCAATAGCAGTTACCTTAAGAAACTATTATTTTGGTGGTACACCTAAAGAAACTATTCTTTTTGTGGTACCTAAAGAAACTATATTCTTTTGGTGGTGCCTAAAGAAACTAGTCTTTTGGAGGTACCTAAAAAGAAACTATTCTCTGGGTAGCTGAGTGGTCATAGTGCTTGTCTTCAAATCTGCAGGTTACTGGTTCGATACCCGAGGCGAGATTGTATCCAGACCCAGATGCCATTTTGTCACTGGGCTATGCATTAATTAATGATGATATCTAACAAAAATGTCGACGTTATAGTGGTAACAAAACCAGGGTTTGGATCATTCCACTGATCAAATAATGCACTGATAATACATATGAAATCCTTACATCTTTAGCAGTTGAAAATATACCGGTATTCACCTGCAAATCCTCTGAACTGTCTGAAGAACTGGGATTAGAGATGGTAGGTGATTGAATGTTGTTACACCTATGTTTACTGGTCAGGTCATTCTGAAACAATTGGATGCTCATTGCTCTCTATGAAAATCATGTGTAAACATTGACTATAATATATACACTTTCTGTGGCATACAGTCAATGGTGTAAAGCACATGGGTAGGTCAAAGCTTCTATAACCTAATGACCACATAACTTGCGTTATTTTCATTGTAGCCTAACCTAATCATTAACAATTTCACTATCGACTGTCAGTGATGAACGTTAGGCTACACATCAATGTTTTTCTACTAGGCTACAGAATAGTTGGAATGATTCGTAAATAAGCCCATTTATTTCATAACTATATTGATGGCTTGTTTATGGCTCCTTTATTGTATTTAGGCCTAACTAACTTACAGTGATAATAATTTTCAATTTGTCAATATTTATAACGATTTAAAATTACGGTTATTAGAAATAATGGAGATTACCTACACATGATTTGTGCAGTCAAGGATGTCAGTAGGACCTAAATAGCTCAAAAGTTAATAGCCTATCTCATATTCTTTGTAAACACCTTGAAATTTCGGTTGACTGCTAAAAGTATTTTGATTTAAGTTGATTGTTTTCTAATATTTAATCTTGATAAGTCTAAACATTTTGAAACCAATAATATGAATAAAATGGCGCTTAACTGCACTATGGTTTGATTGGTTGCACAATGGTCTTGTGAATCATATGTAGGCTTACTTTACCTCGGTCTCTTTTGATGACTCGTATGATTCACTTCTTGAAGCTTGTGGGTAAGAGTTTTGATTTCCTGAGAAGGTGTACTTTTTCCAGGAGAATCTAGGTTTGGTAACGAGTGATTTGTACGATTCTACCCGTTGTGCCTGTCTTCTCAAGTAGATTCTGTTTAATTTATTGTCTGTCATTGCACAGAAGTTCTTTCACGTTTATTTTTTCCTGGAAAGTAAAAAATAAATTATGGTGTGCATAGACCAATGCAGCCACAAATGATTTAGTTCTTTCTAGGACTAGGCCCCTAAATAATACAAAAAAAAATTTTTTTTGTAATACTCCATAACCCTTTTAGTGCTATGCAAAGATATATTGTTGTGCGTCTTTTTCCCGAAAAGTGCTATGGAACGATATATCCTTGTTCGCGTTTCATCCAAAAAGCGCTAAGAGCGACGATATATCGTGCCGGTGCGACCTTCGATCATGTGAGTTTAAATGAGCATATCGGTTGACTCGGTTGTAGTTTTAAAAACAGTGATGGTTTCTTTCGATTCCTCATATGATCGAGGCCCAATATATCGTTCCTTAGCACTTTAGAGATGACAAATTTTTTTTTACAAATTTTTTTCTCGCACACTAGACTTGGCCCCCATGGTAGGTCTAGCACTTTTAGGACGAAATAAGTAAATAAATCTAGCACTTTTCTGAAAATTACAAAAGAATATTCTTCCACCGAAAGAGTTAAAAGGAGATTCCTACTGAACATTTTTCAACTTTTTTTAATACACTTAAAATTATCCTTTTTTGCAAAAAAATACAAGAAGAATTAATAAATAAGCTTGGTTGTATCATTTATAGTTATAAGTTAAAGTATAAAAGAATTTATGTAGAAAATGTTGAATTTAAAAATTGCGGAAATCAGCGCTTAAATGGAGTCACCGTGCTAGGACCCTATGGCAGGTGCATGCTTCGCTTCTAATATTTTTCAAATAAGAGTCATAAAATGTGTTTTTATTGTAAAGTTATAGGCCTAAGTTATTTTTCTGAGACTTAGCTAAATTAGCTAACTTATTAAAACTTAAAAAAAAACAGCAAAACTACAATAAGTAAGTTAATATTTAACAAAAAAGTTATGACACCAAGATCTTTTAACCCTCCGAGCGTCACTCGTTGAAAAATCGACTCACGACACACTTTGTGTAGTGTCACGCGTCGATTTTTCGACACACGAACATCGTTTACGGCGTAGGCTCTATGACTGACTGAATCGGATTGAACTGGATTGAGTTAGGTATCGTTCTTTTCGTTAGATTCTAAGCTTTCTCCAGAGGTCTGTCTCTAAGCGCTTTATGTTCTCCGAGCCGATCGTAATTGTAGCAGACAGCTGACGTTCGTGTTTTAGACAACTTGGTTATTTCACATCAGTGACTTGTGTGTTTTTGTACTTTTATTGTCGTTTTTAGTGGTAAAAATGGACAGTAGTGATATACATAATGCACTAGAAGATGATATTAGTGATGTTGAAGGACTTATTGACGATCCGGATGAAGTTGGTACCGGTAGTGACAGTTAATTATCAACCAGATTCCTAGCTATGGTTAGGCTATGCATTCTTAGCTAAACGCTATGTACTGAAATCTGTTTTTTGCCCATAACTTATTTATTTGCAAATCTACTTCCTTATATTATTATATAGGCCTATTTGTAATCCTCATAAAATTTAGAACCAACAAAGTGGCTAGGCCTATTTTCAAATATTTATAGGCCTATGATTTATACAATTTCATTGAGCGCAAACTTATTTTTTTCAATTTTTCCAAAATAATTTTCTTTTTTACCTAAAAAATTTTTTTGAAACAAATATTCTTATGTATGATATTGAAGCCCATGATTTTCCAAACAAAATGGTATACCTTATAGAACAGTAGAATTAACATTGTTTTAAGCTTCTCAGATCCGTTTTAACCCTCCGAGTGTCATGCGTCGCTGCAGCGACGCGTAACGCACTTTGTATAGTGTCGTGCGTCGCTGCAGCGACTCGCGAACACTGTTTACGGCGAAGGCTCTATGACTAACTGAATCGGACTGTACTGGATTGAGTTAGGTATCGTTCTGTCCGTAATATTCTAAGCTTTCTGCAGAGGTCTGTCTCTAAGCACTATTCATTTTAGTTCCGAAAATATTGTAGCAGACAGCTGACTGAGCTGACGTGCGTGTATTTGTAAACAGCTAGGTTACCCTCGGACCGATGACTGATGTGTTTTATTACGTTTATCATTGTTTTAGTGTTAAAAATCAAAAGTAGTGATATACGTGGTGCATTATAAGAAGATTTAAGTGGTTTTGAAGTGCTGGTTGATGATCCTGAAGAAGTAGGTAGTAATATTGATGTAAATTATCAGCCAGATTCCTAGCTATGGTTGGGCTATGCATTCTTAGCTAAACGCTATGTACTGAAATCTGTTTTTTGCCCATAACTTTTTTATTTGCAAATCTACTTCCTTATATTATTATAGATTTGTAATCCTCATAAAATTTAGAACAAAGTGGCTATTTTCAAATATTTATAGGCCTATAATTTATACAATTTCATTGAGCGCAAACTTATTTTTTTTTGAAAATTTTCGAAATTATACATTTTTTTACCTAAAAAATTTTTTTTTTTAAATCTTTCTTATGTTTTATATATAATATTGAAGCCCAAGATTTTCCAAACAAAATGGTATATAGAACAGTATAATTAACATTGTTTTTAAGCTTCTCAGATCAGTTTTAATAAAACCTTGCAAATGAGCAAAAAATAGGCTGACATTAAGGCCAAAACACGTGACACTCGGAGGGTTAATAAAACCTTGCAAATGCGCCAAAAATAGGTGGACATTAAGGCCTAAACTATGGACACTCGGGGGGTTAAGTTAAGTCGGTTCACAAATGGGGCTACTAACAGTAAGAACTAAGCTTAAAACCCTTGCATTTGCGTGCACCAGACAGGTAGAGCGCAGCCTTAAGACTGGGCTAACTTATATTCTAGGGTAAACTTAACCATTATTCAAAGCCTAATGATCAAGGGCATGTGGTCTTGTAAGTTAAGTGTTAGATTAAAACTTATAAGTTACCGAGTTGGCGGTATAAACTTGATGTGTTGGTTGAAAAGCTTTGATTAAATTTCAGATTAATTGGCTAATTTGTCCTAAGGATGCCATATAAGGGTTGCCCAAGAACAACTTCGGTTCTCGTCCAACACATGGTTGGCTTAAGTTACCTCCTAACTTAATGTTTAGTAAGATTACCACATTAGGCTAAAAAACTTATTTATTACCGGTAACCATATTAAGTTAATCCAAGCTAACTTGTAAAATATGTGTCGGTAATAAGTTACTAATAATCAAATTGTATGGTAAGTTTATGAGCACTGCAAGTTTCAGAAACACCATAATAAAACTTGAAAATAAAACTGGTTTGGCTGTCACCTGTTAGTAAAATGTCTTGATTCGAACTATTTTCCTTCTTATAGGTCGTTAAGTAATTTAAGACAAGAAACCTAGGCCTAGGGCCTATTAAATTTAATAAATAAAAAAGTTTCTTTCTTCTGTTTGCTGTTAGTTGCTGTTCGACTATTACTAGTGTCTTCTTGCCGTAGCTTTCTTACTTGCCGTCACCGTCACGTCACAGAGACATGGTAATAAATAAATAACTAAATAAAATAAATAACAACGACAACCTATAAAGTAAATCTAACAAAACTTAACGAACGAAACAACGTTCGCTCGCGTTCGCGTTGCGTTTAGAATATTACAGTTGCAATCTTTTTTTAAGCCAACATTGTTGCAGAAACATAGAGTATAACAGTGTTCCTGTGTGATGGATTATTATATATATATTATGTATCTATCTAAACCCATGGTGGCGAAGAAGTCGGAGACTTGTAGAGGAGTATCTATGCTTGTATGTTGTATACAGAGGAGAAGAACTTTGAAAAAACAGGTTAGAGATGTCTTAAGGTTTTTAAGCAGATTAGGCCTTCTTAGACGAATCGACATAACTCCAGAAGACACGAATGTTACTATTTTCAGAGATGAGTCTATAGATTGAATGTAAGCTGAGTAACATTTTCTCGTAAGTCTAAAAGATTCAAAAGTTATTGTAAACTTATGTTATTTTCCCATTAAAATCAGATTTAGGAAAAAGCCGGTTTTGATTAAAATTAATGTGTTATGGTCCTTATAATTAATTAAAAAAAAAATAGTGCTGTATCAATTACGGTTCAAAAGTGTTTGCATCTTTTGAGATTTTTTTATAAAATCTCATAGTAACTCCAACCACTTACCCGGCCATGATAAAGGTTGTTGACAAGCTTATGGGAGAAAGTATATGTGTCAGATTGATGATACCTTTGTTGACTGCACACTTAATCTAAGGGTTTTTTATTGATTTCAAAGTAATCCACTTATTTTATTTTCTTGGAGACTGCTGTGTTACTATACTAAAATGCTTTTTCCTTGCTGCAAGTGCAAGTAGCAGACATCACTAGTTGTAGCAGTAGGACAACAAATAAAAAAAAGCAATGGGCAGTGAAACGAGCAGTTATAATTAGATATTGTAGACCAGCTTATATCACTCAACCTGAAGACCATTGTGGTGCAGTGGATACCAAGTCACATAGGAATACCTGGCAATGAAAAGGCTGACAAACTGGCCAAGACTGCAGCTAATTCGAATAAAGACATAGACAACGATTTCTTTACACCCATGTCAGACTTAAAAGTTAATATTAAACATAAATTCTAAATAAAAGCTTCAAGAGAATTAGATAATACTGTAGTAACACTGTAGTAATACTGTAGTGGAGGTACAAAATTATACAACCTAAAGCACCGCAAAAGCCATGGTTTTGTAACTATACAGACTAAGCCGTACTGACACTTCTTTAATATGTAAACTAAGATTTGGTCATCTATACAATACTATAAGGTCAATAATTACCGAGTGCCCTGCCTACAACAGGATGAGACAATGCCTTATGCAAAATTAAAAACAGCAAAATGGAATTCACCACCAACTGTCCAAACGCTCCTAATGGAAAAGAATATTGCAAGCTATGGCCACCATTACTGAAATTTACAAGAAACAGAAATCCAACGTTGATATTTAATGAAACCTGAACTTTAAATTCAACAAGACAGTCAAATTAAAAATCTCCTAACATTTTCATCCTGCTAACATTTTAAAAACCCCTGGAAAATGTACAGATGAAGTAGTGTGGTTACATGGTTAGTTAAACCAAGCTAGCTTTACAAGTAAACTAGAAAAGAAGAAGAAGAAAAAGAAGAAGAAGAAAGGAAAGTGTAGTGTCAGTGTCACCAGTGTCAGTGTCAACTAGTCACTAGTCTACTGTCAACTGAACTGTCAGACAGGCTCAGGCTCAATATGAAATTTGCTTACAGTTTAAAAATTTTAATTTACTGAGTATTATAGTCTATATTATGCGATTTTATGTAGCCTAGTCATAGAATACTAGACCTTGGATTTCCTTAGCTACGCCAACTAAATAAACATCGTGTAAACCTGCAAAATGTTTTAAATTAATTTAACTAACTACTTGGATTTGTTATTAGGCCTAACCATAGAGACATAACCTAATTTACTTTTCTTGGTTGAGAATTGATTGATTAGCCTATGTAAAGTCCATAAATCCGACGATTGTGTTTTGTACAATGTCTAAAATAAAATATTACTTCTGTAAAAAGAAATCATTTACTGTCATTTGTTTTTATATCGGGTTCTTGTGTCTAACTTTGCAATTTGTGGTGTTTTTCGTATTACTGCATACCTTGGACGATAAAGGGATACTTACAAGTGATGAAGGTTCAAACAAGTTCTGCCGGTTGTACATGTCAGAGGATATTGAAATACTTGCTCTATTAACCACAAAATTAGGCTTTTCTTTTGTGCTACTAGATGAAAGGTTTCTAGACCCACAAGCTGTTCAGAACAATAAAATACTAAACTTACAATGCAGTCATTGTGATTACTGTAAGCCTTTAATTTTAGCTCTTGATTATGGAACTTATTTTGAAAGAAGGAAGCAGGTGAGTGTCACTTAACTAACAGTCATATATTGTTACAGTATTGTCAAACTGTTACAGTTGTGCTTTGAATGTTGTTTGTAAGGGTTTAGATTAACCTAATGAGGGTTTACATAAACCGTATTTCATATTTTGTATCAACCATCACGGGTACCATTTATTATATTTAGAATCAAACTTTAAAACCTAAGCCTGAGTAGCTCAGCTCAGAATGCTAACCAATAGGCTAGCAACACTTTAACCGTGTTTATTGCTAAAGGGATGTTTAAAGCAGCATAATCTTATTAAGCTCAAAACAATAGAATAAGTTTTTAACGTTTAAGCTTAGATATTTATTTGACTTAGTAACTTTGAAATTTTACCTAACCCTCCATGTTAAACTTTCCTATCCCAAGCGTGATGTATACAACTTCCTTACTTCTCGAGTGATGTAAAGTTGAAAAAAACTCACTCGGTGATGTAATGAAACCCATTTAATTAACATTGAGTGCTTAACTAAAAAAAATATACCTCTATGGAGGCATCGACGTTCAACGCTAGAAATCAGCTGTGCGCTTGAATGTTATTGTTATGCTTTAAAGTATTTTCCTAACCTAGCTTTTGTTTGTAAAATAACGTTACTGTAAGACGATGAGTGAAATGGATAATGAAAAATATTGTACGTAAACCCATGTATATTGTCGGTTCAGGTAAAATCTTGTACGTTACACGTTGCGCAAGAGCGTGTTTACATCTCTTAGGTGAATTATGCAACTCGCTTCCGCTCGTTGCACAACATTCACCTGCGTGATGTAAAATCGCTCTTACTACACTTGTAATGTAAATAGCTAAAAATTGACTGATAGTTATAGGCCTAAAATATTAATTAAACAAACTCTTATTTACTTAATTAACTTACTAAGTTAGATCATTCCAAGATATAATTTATGTAGGCTAATCCTTATTTTTATCACAAAATTGTACTTTTTTCAGTTCCTTACTAAGATTGTGGATGAAGATTTCAATTTGATTACGTTTTACAACATCCATCCTGATCAGTCTGTACCAGAACTGGATCACGTTGAGATTGCTGTGTTTTTGACTAGAAAATCTACAGTTCAAGTTGTTTTACTTCATCCTAGGGAGGTAAGCAAGTTCAAATAGATAATGTAAACTCTTACCTTAGCAATCCTTATTATGGTTGTCCGATATTAATTTCGAACCCGTAGGTCCATCTTCAGTCGGAAGTTTAGGTAGACCAAATGCTTATTATGAAATCCACCCAATTGGCTTCGTAGAAATGTTGACATTTAACACGAACACGATATACATTACAATTGACATAAATAATATACGGAGTTTAGGGATAAAAACCATGGTTTTATAAAACAGTGGGGTGACCTCACTTCAGTCAGGGAACACGCTGCCGGCAGAAGTGTTTCCTGACTGAAGTGAGGTTACCCCACTGTTTTATAAAACCATGGTTTTTATCCCTAAACTCCGTATATTATTTATGTCAAGCACCCCCCAAGCCCCCCGGTGGCCCCCCCTAACAAGGTCCTACATTTGTCCCCCTCAAAGTTTTGATGCTGACGACGCCAATGCCTAAAAACCTGTTCAAATATTATTTGTGTAAACCAAAATTTTACAGCCTAATCTAAATGCATACCAAGGATATATTGTTGGATCATATTTCTTAAGGTTTTATTTAAGTTATTTTCTCTGTCATTAGTAATCTATGTTATTACAAAATGAGTGGTCTGTTTTTCTATCATGCAAAACTGTTGTATAAAATTTGCTCTTATTAAGCTCAGAGATAATTCATGTTCTGGTACCCAGTGTTACTATGGGTCAATTCAAATTTTTATTCCAGATTTGATTTATGTATCAAGTTTGAAACTCTGTGGAATTATGATTTATATTCCGTAATCATGTGCCTTGCAAGCCAGGCATTTCATCCCCATGTTAAAGGTGTCGTTAGTTTTTTAATAAAATTCATCATTGTTGATGTAAGCCACCAACCGATTGCGCTGATCTAAATGATTAATTTCTGTCAAATACACATTGTTTTTTACCAAGTCAAACTGATGGAACAACTTATTATGAGATATGGCCCATCAACTACGCCAGCAAAAAAAAGTTAGAAAATTTTAGACACTAGCGCATTCTGTGACTGGCTAGCAAAACTTTTAGTAAAACATTTGCGACAGCTGGTCCATATAGATGGGATGTCTACTTCAGTATCTAATAGTTAACACTATTATAGAGGTCTTGCGGAACGAGGTGAAGCCTGAGATTTTCGGCGGGAACCGTCTAAAGCGGGGAAATCCATGGTGGGGGTAGGAGACGAGCCGATCGTCGCCTCGCATAGCGACACTTCCCCCGCCACACCACTATTCCCCTCCAAGCTTCACCTCGTTCCGTACGACCTCTACCAAGTTACAACATCTAAGAGCCTACTACGGCTATGTACAAAACAGCTGATGAATCTATCACGTAGGCCTAATTCTTTCACTATTTTTCTTCAGGACAACACCTGGTGGTTTGGTGACCTTCACAGTGATCTATCTGGCGAGTCCAAACTTGCCTCTCTAAACCTCACATACCGGAACATCAACCTGATGGCTGTTGAGGGATCCACTGAAAGGTGATGAGTTTTGATATTTAGATTAATATTTTTTAGGATTATAATACATTTTACTCCTATGTATTTTTTATTGAAAGTTTCAAAGTTAAGACCTATAACTCAATCAGTGAGTTGGCCTATCTTGAAGAGGCTGTAAATTTAACTATAAACCTGCTCATGCTTCTAAGTTATTTTATATTTTATGTATTTGTAATGTGAACATTAGCCATGCATGCAGTTTTATAGTGACTATCCTGAAAATTTGAGTTAGCTAAATTAACCTCTTTCAAGGAAACCTTCTCGAACCTCTCATCATTAATTACTCCTTAATAGGTTACTGAGGTAGTTAAATATAAATTGATGCAGATATCTTTTGTCATCCCATTTAGGTCTACATTTATTTATGTATATTAAATGGCTATATAAACAATATATTAAATGGCTAGATTTGATCAATAATTGATTTATAATGCTTTACAAGCTATGGACCTACAATTTAACTTTAGTCTGTTGGTTTGAAGTGCTCGGAAAGTAACCATAGGGTTGCTGAGGTTTGATCCTGAAAAACATAAAAATCTCTTTAGTCCAGGAGCTGAGGGGGTTTGAGCATGCATGAAAGTAGTACGCAATGTTATTGCTGATTATTGTAATATGGACTGTGGTGATCAAAATTACGTATGTCGCCTATTTCAAAAGTGGTCGATAAGGTGGGAAGGAGGGGGCAAACATGGCGGTTTGCGCTATGCGTTAAAACGCTGATAGTTCGAAAACGGTAAAAGATAGAACATCGTTTAAAATGTCGTTGGAATTTTAAAAATGTGGACAACAATAATGGTTATTGGGTCCGAGGTCGTATCTCTATAAATAAACAAGTTATTGTATAAAATATGTAAAAATGGACTTTTCGTGTAGTTTTTTAACCGAAAGTAGAATTAATTTGTGAGTGTCGCAAATAAGTAATATCAAATATCTTTGCTGATAGTTGTAATATGGACTGTGGTAATAAAAAACACGCATGTCGCCTACTTTTCAGGTGGTCGAGAACTTGTGGGGAGGGGGGCAAAGATGGCGGAACGCGCTATGCATCGAGACGACTGTAGCTCGAGAACGGTACGAGATAGGACATCGGTTAAAACGTAGTTTTAATCCAAAAAATATTACCAATAGAAAAGGTCATTGGGTAAAAAGTTGTATCTTAACTAATAAAAAAGTTATAACAATAATAAGTTTAACAAAATCTACATCGTACAGCTATTTTTTCCGAAAATCGTATGGATTGTTGATAAATAATAGTGTAATTCCTTAATTACTCGGCTATATATTAACTAGATGCATTTTCTTATAAGAAAAAAAAATATTATTACGAATACATTTGGTTTAAAATGTAAAACACGGCCTCCAAACGCCTTGGGGTTCGTCCGATAGGTTGCGTCATAATTGCTGCGCATTGCTGCTGATATCGGCGCAACTGTTAATAAGAACTGAATAACTGGCATAACTGAATAAGAATCTGTTACATAATCATATTATAATAACCTACAACTTTATAATAATTAAAATTGGATTTGTAGTGGTAGTCTGTATTATGCATTTGATTGTGGCGAAACCCCAAGTAGTATATGTAGTTTGGAGGCCGTGTTTTACATTTTAAACCAAATGTATTCGTAATAATATATTTTTTTCTTATAAGAAAATGCATCTAGTTAATATATAGCCGAGTAATTAAGGAATTACACTATTATTTATCAACAATCCATACGATTTTCGAAAAAAATAGCTGTACGATGTCGATTTTGTTAAACTTATTATTGTTATAACTTTTTTATTAGTTAAGATACAACTTTTTACCCAATGACCTTTTCTATTGGTAATATTTTTTGGATTAAAACTACGTTTTAACCGATGTCCTATCTCGTACCATTCTCGAGCTACAGTCGTCTGGATGCATAGCGCGTTCCGCCATCTTTGCCCCCCTCCCCCCAAGTTCTCGACCACCTGAAAAGTAGGCGACATGCATGTTTTTTTATCACCACAGTCCATATTACAACTATCAGCAAAGATATTTGATATTACTTATTTGCGACACTCACAAATTAATTCTACTTTCGGTTAAAAATCTACACGAAAATTCCTTTTTTACATATTTTATACAATAACTTGTTTATTTATAGAGATACGACCTCGGACCCAATAACCATTATTGTTGTCCAAATTTTTAGAATTCTAACGACGTTTTAACCGATGTTCTATCTTTTACCGTTTTCGAACTGTCAGCGTTTTAACGCATAGCGCAAACCGCCATGTTTGCCCCCTCCCCCCCACCTTATCGACCACTTTTGAAATAGGCGACATACGTAATTTTGATCACCACAGTCCATATTACAATAATCAGCAATAACATTGCGTACTACTTTCATGCATGCTCAAACCCCCTCAGCTCCTGGACTATAGTGGTTCAAAACCTTTTTAGTAGTCTCAGTTGTCCTCGATTATTTGGTTTTTGATAGATGAGCCTACTGGCTAAAGAACCAATACCTACTAATGAGGAACAAAGCTGTTACCTACATCATTCATTCATCTCATCCTCACCTACACACCCAAGTCTAGAGGCGTTGTAAAATCTAATCTAATAATATACACAACTACCTGGAGTAAAAACTTGGTTTCTCTCTCTCCTCTATGCCTCCCCTTTCCACCATGTTTCAATGCATCTTGAACACTGTAATAAAATTATGGCCTATGGGTGCCAATATTGATTTTTTTGTGCACTAATTATAAAATTATTGTCTAAGGATGGAAGAGGTTGTAGAACAACATTCCATTCTGGTCTGTTTTTAATCAAGCCCCCTACATAATCATAATGTGATTATATTATAATTTTGATCTTTTGAAAGCCAGCCAACCACCATAAGAGTTTCATCACTCACTAAGTTACACAATCTCATGACTGGTTCAATTTATACTTTTGTTTCAGGTTTGAAACCGTTCCCTCTCAGTTGAAAGACGACTCATCATTGTTGTTGCCGAAGGACATAAAATCATTTTTGTCTGACTTAAGCTGTTCAAAATTTATTGAGTGTAATACAACTAGAGCGACACTTTTTCGTAGCAAATTCAAGCCAGATCAAAGTCCAGAAGCTCGGAGATTCAGACATAAAGTGTGGAAAATGCTATCGAGAGTCAAAACTGTCATGGATTCTTTGAAGATTCCATTTTGGTTAAGTAGTGGGACAGCTTTAGGTGAGTTTTTTACAATCTTAGTTTTTGTTGTGATAAAGACCTGTCCAAGTACAATATTGAGCTAAAATTGTATATAAATGTTTTAGCAAGCTAACCTATAATGAAGGAGTTAAAATATTGATTAAGTTATTGAAACAAGAAATAAATAGCTGGTAACTACCGGTAACCATTATCTAAAAAATAATAAATAAATAAATAAACATGCCTTTATTGATCAAGCGTTTCTCAGTACAACTGCTTTTCAGAACAACTCTCGTCATCTAAAGCTATCTAGGACAGAAACGTAGCCTCAAACATAAGTTGGTTCTTAAGGATGATAAAGCTAAATTAAATTTTAATCAGTAGGCCTATATAGTTCCACTTATCTTGAATAAGTAATTTTTAATTTAGTGCTTCTTAAATTTAACACGGGGAAGGAACTAAAAAAATCATTGCATTAGAAAAACTTACATTTTGCACCCCCCTCCCCCCAAATGATTTAACAGGATTGCCTTCCTCAAAGGAAAAATGTCTAATAATTTCAACTCACTTTGAAGTATTCTCAGAAAAGGATACTTAAGCTTCATTTTTTTAAGTGATTTCTTTTTGTTTAAATAATTTTGAATAACTTATTCGTTATTATTAGTTACATGATTGAGTTTCGAAACTTTTAATATTTCCCCCCTTAATTTATACTTTTATAATGTTTCAGGTTACTTCAGAGAATGTGACATAATAGCCCACAGTAAAGACGTAGACATCGGTACTTGGGCTACTTCTTACTCTCCCCAAATAGTTATGGAAATGCAAAGACGTGGCTTCCGTCTTAAAATATCTCTGGGTTTCCCGAACGACTCGCTAGAGTTGTCTTTTGTAGACGAATCTGGCATTAAATTGGACATTTTCTTCTTTTATCAGGACGAAGAACATTACTGGAATGGCGGAACTCAAGTGAAGAGTGGCAAAAAGTTTAAGTGAGCGTTTTCATCAATTTAGCTATTTTTTCACTTTAAATGATACGAATGTTAAATGTTAATTTTATTAGCCTAATTTTATTTTAAAGAAATGCCAAGTGGTTGATTAGGGGTTTTTAGAGAAGGGGCTCTACTCCTCAACCTACTCTCTGAACAAGCCCTATATTTGGATGAAATATCAATTTTATGACTTTTGTGACTTTTATTACAGTATCTATCAGCTCCTGAACTCTAACTTTCTCAGGATAGCTGGCTGAACTCTATCCCTTTCTGCAGAACCTAAGTTGTTAGTTAGTGTAATGAAACCTCAGTGACCTTGGGACAATAACCATCATTCACATGAACAAACTTTACCGTAGCTTTTATAAAGACAAAGCACATTATGTGCTGTGCCAAGTGTTTTTGGTAGTTTTTTCTGAGGACACATACCTCTGATCCCTAGTACCACCTGTGTTATAGCGAAGAACCAAAACCCTTTGAGAAATGCAATGCCTTTGTTAAAAATTCAGTCTGGGAATATTTAAATTTTGGTTAGTTCCCGCAGCTGCCACTAGGTAGACAAATGCGAGCGGTGAAGTCAGCTGACTGAATGGGAGAGAGTGAGACAAAGAATCAGCTTAGAAAGAGAGGGATAGAGTAGCGTGTCTACCGCACGAGTGATCCTAGCAGCGGCTGCGTGAAGCTTATTTCGGCGGCAAAATTCTAGTCTGATTGTTATGATGAGCACTAGTATCTTGATTGCAATAGTATTTTAGGAATTAAATAAAATTTTCAATAACCCAGCACTCATTATAATTTTGAAATAACCGGTTGATTTGATTTGTTTTACTAAATTATTAAAAACCCAGATTAATTTATCTCCTGACATGCGCTAGTGCAGAGTAAGTCCAGCTTCCTGTGAGGCCTCCCCACTGTCTGAGAAACCCACGACCAATCAGAGCAATTCTGTTTTAAGAATTGTCTATACAGGGTGAATTTTAAATGAGTTCCCCCCCTACTTTTTTCTACATTTCTTAAGATATCATCTCCGGACCACGTCAGATCATTGTTGAGTAGTAAGTATTTCATTTTGACTGGGTGTACATTTTTGGCCGCCATCTTGGATCCGCCATATTGGATACAAAGTTTTTTTTTCAAATGTAAAGGTAGGATTGTGACCCATTATTTCAAACAAGAATTTTACGCTGATTACAATGCCGCAATTAGTTTTTAAAAATCTTGATCCGTTCTAAAGTTATGAGGACTTTTTATAACTTTATTTTTAGCGCATTTTAACATTGTGCATTTACAAACTAAGACCATAATCTCAAAATAGTGCTAGATAAAGATAAGTATACAACACCATTCATTGTTGACATACTTTCACTTGGTTGTGACGGATGTAGTTTTTTCAGCCGCCATCTTGGATCCGCCATTTTGAAATGTGATCAATTAATTTAAATATGAAGGTGGTGTTGTGACCCATCATTTTGAGCTACCTTTTTATGCTGAACTCAATGCCGCAATCCGTTTTTCATTTTCATCTTTGGATTTTGAAATATTGAAATTTTAAATAAGAGTATTTTAATATTTCATCAAGAAAGCTTGATAACCAAAAACGGATTGCGGCATTGAGTCCAGTATAAAAAAGTAGTTCAAAATGATGGGTCACAACACCACCTTCATATTTAAATTAATTGATCACATTTCAAAATGGCGGATCCAAGATGGCGGCTGGAAAATTTACATCCGTCATAACCAAGTGAAAATATGTCGACAATTAATGGTGGTGTATACTTATCTTTATCTAACACTATTTTGAGATTATGGGCTTATTTTGTTAATGCACAATGTTAAAATGGGCTAAAAAATAAATTTATAAAAACTCCTCATAACTTTAGAACGGATCAAGATTTTTAAAAACGAATTGCGGCATTGTAATCAGCGTAAAATTCTTGTTTGAAATAATGGGTCACAACCCTACCTTTACATTTGAAAAAAAAACTTTGTATCCAATATGGCGGATCCAAGATGGCGGCCAAAAATGTAAACCCAGTCAAAATGAAGTACTTACTACTCAACAATGATCTGACGTGGTCCGGAGATGATATCTTAAGAAATGTAGAAAAAAGTAGGGGGGGAACTCATTTAAAATTCACCCTGTATAAGTAATACTATACTAATAAAATAATTGCAGTGGAGGATCTCATGCAGGGACCCTACTAAATAAATCTTACACACCATTCTCAAATCATGCTTCGATCTTGTAAGACCAAACACTCTTTCTCTTGTTTCAATTTTGAGACTTGTATTCTCCATAAACATTTCATTTCTTAAACAGTTTGTATTCATATGGTTATAGTTGTTTTGTATAAACTTACTTTGTATGTTAGCGCATTTATTTACATTTAAGACAGTAAAAGTTCAAAAGAATAAAATAGGTTGGTTTTCAGGTATGATTTTCCAAAGTTCAGCCTATGTTGGACGCTGTTTAAGGATCTGAGAGTTCGCATCCCTTGTGAGACAGAAGAATACATCAAAGCTAACTACGGCCCGGATTGGTTTGTTCCCGTAACATCATGGGATTGGAAAACTAGTCCGTTCAACGTCAAACCTAATGGGATGTGGAGAACAGATCAACTGACCGAAGCTATAAAATTGTATCCAACATGAAAGTAAATTAGAGTTTGGTTTTCCGTCGAAGAAATAGAAAGGTTTAAAGAAAGGTAACCATTAAAAACTTGCATATTATCAATACAATTGATGGGGACGCCACCTAGGTGTGCATTTCAATCCAAATATGAGTGATGGATGAGTGTAATGGAGTGAGATGATCTGTGTAGCTTTTTTACTGACTAAGATCAGCTGTTTCATTAGTCAGGACCATTTATTTAAAGCCCAAAATCAGGAACGGCTGGGTAATCAAGTAAATAAGAATAAGTGGCCCTAAAGAAAATACCAAACCTACTTGTTTGCTATGATTCATAATGATATCAAAACATACGTGCCATAATGTTCGGGGTTCTTGATCTCATAGTTCGAGTAGTATTGTTGAAGATTTGGTCATGTCCTGGTTTCTCAGATTGGTTTTGTAAGAGTAATTTATGGTTTTCAATAATGTTAGGTTGAGGTGGCATAACAAAGTGTTAAATCATACTCAGCCACAAAATGTACCATTACCTTGAGAAACTGCAAGTAGAAACTGCTCATTTATGTGAACCCGAGCACATTGGAAACAATCAATTCCTCGTCAAATTTCTCAAAAGTATTGGATTAATATGTTTAGCTCTGCTCAATATTGCAAGTAAACAACTTCATTGTACACTTAGTTATAGTCTTCCATGTTCAAACAGTATTTTAAATGTTATTTTTCAACATCAGCTAATTTGTCATACTAACTATACTAGTCTTATTTGGTTTAAATGATATTTTTACATCTTTAATGTAAAAAGAATTGTAATAAATACTGTGTATTAAAGACTGACATCTTTAACCATTTATATGGATTTAAGTTATTGTTTAGCAATGCTTTTATTTAATCCCAACTGTTCCATATACACTTCACAGTAATAATAATAATAATTTATTTATTAAATAATTTATAGCTTGAATACAAAAACCAAAATTCATTTGAAGATCAAGGTAAACACAAAATTACCATTAATTGTCCAAACATTTCATTTCAATAATCCAACAAAAACATATAAAATTACGAATAATCTCAAAATAAATAAACTTTATTTTTACATCCATTAGGTACAATAATTTACATATTTTAGGTAAACCTAATCAAATACAGTATTATAGTTCTGTTTCATTTTCACCTGCATTCTTCTCAAGGTTATTTCTTCTTTTTCCAGTTCTGAAACATTGAAATTCGTCTCGTTATAATAGTTTGTCACAAAAGAAAATGAATATAACAAAGTGAGTCAGTGGCCTGGTCAGCAACATTGAAATGAAATCTTAGTCGAGCTACTAATATATATATATTCAAATTTGAACGAATGGTGTTTTTGGCCTCTGGGGACATCAAAATGAATAAGTAAATCGGTCCTGGGCCTGGGTCTTACCATGCTACCTACAGTAATAACTTCTTCCCTTTAGGGAAATTCGCAAATAAAAACTGTTGGTTCACATTTAAAATAACTATAAATTTAGTAAAAACAGTTAGCTTCTACAGTCACGTGGTTTATAAAACATTAAAAAATTTGGACTGCTTGAGGATGAATCTTGTTAAACAGTTTGATACCCAAAAAAATGACTGTTTTTGGAATAACTAATAAGATCTAAAGTCATAATAAAAAAATGCACATTTTTATTACCATAGTAAATGTAATTATGTCCCCACCTGATCAGCATTGGTCTAGGTAGAGGAGCTGGAGGGTAAATCGTTTCATCTTCAGAGTCAAAATCATCCACCATGGAAGTTTGGGAGATCTGTGTTTCCAAAACGTGTGTAGAACTTTCATGCATGTAAGCTGGGTTCTCTATCCCGATGCTTCGTTTACGCAGACTTGTCTCAATATCTGCATTAAAAGACATCCTTGTTTCACAAATGTCTGTGGGAATACTCCAAATCGCTTATCTAACATCGACCTTTTGTTATGTATCATAAATTAATAATAATAAAAAATTGCATTTTGACTCCAGAATCAAGCCCAATGCAACCATCAGATTAGCCGTACTATAATATCTCTGCAACTCAGATGATTTGAAGAAAAAGAAGTGGAAGCTTTCCTTAACTTTTGAGTTTGATGTAGATAACAAATAATGATTACTGAATAAATCAAAATTTCCCTATGGTCATACTTTAAATATAAAATACAGAGTGTAAAATTCTTGCTAAGATTTATATTAGGTCCCTTGTAATATTATTGAAGTATTAGTTCATGTGAATATTTCTCATTTGAATCAGATAAATAAAGGATTTAACTCTTGATAACCTAGTAAAAGCCAGAACAAGATTACAGCAATTCTTTAAGCCCCATGGAATTAACTTAATTATTTATTGAATTTTGTCTACTTTAATAATGTTTTTGCTTACCTGGTGAATACATAATTTGAAATTAGTTTCAAACGAGATTTTGTTTTGACTCACAGTGGTAGAAAACTTAAATCTAGTAAAATACCTGATTTAAGGTACAACTCGTAGAAGATTTCACCCATCCCATGATTATACACCTGTGCATTTTCTTTGGGCGAGCTTCTCCTACCAAGCTAATTAATTCTGCCACAGACAGTTGTGAACCCCTAAAGAGCTGCACACCCAGACTCCTAAATCTACTACATTGCCAGGAAGACACTACCTTAGATCACCAGGCCAAACATATTGATTTATAATATTTACCATATTTAATTTGAGTTTCCTCTAGTTTAGTGCTCTGTTGTTCAGGATAGAAGAAAGGAGGAACTAGCTGCTTTTCACCATAAGGTATCCATGATCTATTAGAAGATCCGAGAATATCTTTCCTGCTAAAAAGTTATGATCTTTATAATCAAACAAGTTTAAAGGTACAATCAGAGGTAAACTTGTGATGCTTAGCTATTAAGTACATTACTTACTAAATTCAGTCCTACCTAAACCAATATTTGCTTATGGATCGATAATAAAACAGGAAAAATTGTATTATACTAGTTAAAAAAAAACATTCAGGAGGGTTACAAACAAAGTCAGGTTTGTATAAAGTAAATCTGTGCTGAAGATTATAAAAGGAATGTTGAAATTATTCAAATTTTGAAAAACGAAACAGTATACTCCCTTTTGCTAGGATCAGTTTAATTCTATGTTTACCTGTGAAACTTTTACATAGCTTGTTGTTGGTAGAACAGCACCTTTTTTCCAAACAAGAAACAAATTCATTGTTTTTTGTTAAAAATGTGCAATAGAGGTAAATACCTTCTTAAGTAGTTCTCTACGAATCGTGTCTTCACTGCACAAACCAATATGACGAAGAATAGAAGAAACAAGATGCCTGTGACACACAGCCACAGAACCAGGATTAGAGAGCTAGAAGCAACGTTGTACTCCTGCAAAACATTATTTGTACTTGAGTAAATTGAGATATGGATATATTATAGAAAGTGATTAACAAATACACCAATGATTATCATCATCATCATTTTTTGAGATGGAGACGTGCATATTTAATTAAAACCCAAATATGAATGAAGGATGAGTGTAGAATGGGGTGAGATGTCTTGTAGCTTTAAAGTCTTTTTCATTTGTGAGTTTATATAGAATATGTAAAGTACCCACCTAAACTCAACAGAAGGTAACACCGTACTCGTATAAATGTAAAGCAATGACTATTGAAAAATGTGTCCACTGAAGTATTTTTTCCTAAGCAGGGCAGAAAATATACCTTTAATCCAATCTCCTTCAACTGGTCATCTGAACGAGTCTTCCACATGCTGTAAAGACTCCTTGCACTGAGTTGGTAGCTCTCTGAACTGTTCACTGGTACAGACATGTTCACATTGATGCATAAATCTGACTCTGGCCATTCTGTAGGACATCTCTCCACTCTGTGAATCTGGACTGTTGTAGAACTGGAAATTCAATTTTAGTCAAATAACTTTTGACACTGAGATAATTTTATATTATTAATAACAAACTGTATCAGAGAACTGACACATCTCCCAGCTTGTCAACAACCCTTATAATGGGCAAGCGTGGTGGGACTATAACTATGGTATTTTATGGGTAAAAAACTCAAAAATTGCAATAACATCCAAATGTTACAGCATTTGAAATCAGTGTTATGACCATCATAGCGGTTTCGAACCTTTTTTAAAGGAGTAAACGAATTCCTTTAGTGACAAAGGACTTTCTGTGAATTAATAGTGTTAGTACAGGTACTGCCAAAGCTGTTCTGCCAAAGCTATACAAAATGTAATTTTGTTTTATATAACTGCATTGATTTAGCCATAAAAAAAAAATTAAAAAATCTCCATGATATGGGTTTTTTATCTGTTAAACAGCTCAGGATTTTATGACTTATTCAGAATATTTTAACTATTAAATTTTTTATTTTAACAATTTGGGTGGTATTTGAAACATTATATTTTGTCTATTGCTAGACAATAACAAGCATTACTTCATCTATTTGTAAAAAGAGCTAAACTTTCCACATAACATTTGTTTGTACATAACACTAACTGAAAAAAATTTCAAGTACTAAATGTCACTAACACAAACTACTACTACCTTATCTACTTAATTTCACACTGTTTATCATTTCCTTGTAATGTCAAAAGGACAATGCTTTGCCAAAACCTTCTTAAATTGGCAATTACACCAAGTACAATATATTTATTATCAGGCTGTTTTTGTTTACTGTAACTTTACTGTACTTTGTTTCTCATGTGACTAATGTTTGCTTTATTTACTGGGGTAATAGTTTTAACTCAAAGTGATTGAAAATCATGTCACAGCCAGTCAGTAGCAGTCACAGAGGAAGGTTGTGTTTTCCTTATCTTATCAGTGCCCAGGCTTGTACAGGATGAACTGTGGTCAATGCAATGAATCTATTTTGGAGGTTAGTGATTTAATAACCTGTTGTAATGAGGGTTGTAAAACTAATTACCACTACACATGTGTTGGAATTGGACAAACCTTGTTTAGAAAAATGACTAATATCCATAAGTCAGAATGGAAATGTCCTAAGTGCAAGGGGAAATATAAGAAGGAAACAATTGTGAAGGCAAAGGAAAACTCAGAAGAAATTGAAGATAAAATCAAAACGTTTATGGAAGATGTTTCTGAAAAGCTAAGTGTTCTGACTTCATTCAAAGAAGATTTTCAAGCACTGAAGAAGGACAATGAAGAAATTAAGTCTAGTCAAAGTTTCATAAGTGAGAAGTATGAAGAATTGCTATCCAAATTACTATGTCTACCAGAGTTAGAAAAAGAGATCACTACACTAAAAGAAACTATTGAAGAAAAAGATAAAGTGATTTCAGAACTGAGCTCACAGCTTCATCATTTAGAACAGTACGGACGCAATAAAAACCTGGAAATAAATGAAGTGGATGAAAAAGAGAAAGAAGACATTGAACAAATTGTGGTCAACGTCGCAAAGGAGATGGGGGTTGCCTTGGAGAAGGAGGACATCGAAGCTGCTCACAGACTACCTAAGACCCGCACCGACAACAGGCCCGCAACCATCATTGTCCAGCTGGCACGGCGGAAGAAGAGGGACCAGATGCTGGCAGAGAGGAAGAAAGTAGTAACCAACTCCAGGGTGACAGGACTCAGCAACCAGCGTATTTATGTGAGTGAAAACTTATCGCCCTATTATAGAAACCTACTCAAAAAGGCTAAGAAGATGGGACAAGAACTAGAATATAAATATATTTGGTTTAAGAATGGTGTAAAGGTAAGAAAAACTGATGATTCTAAAGTGATCCAAATAAATGATATGTCTGAACTGGTTAAAATGAAGTAGGCCTAGTATCATTGTATTTTGAAGTCACTAAAGTGCAGAGTTTACCATGGGAAAAACCGATTTTGACTGTCTAAATTTTGAAGAAAACATTACTAAAAAACATACGAATTCAATTGAGTTCAAGGACTCTTGTAAAATCAATAAATATTCAGAGGGTTTGACTGTTGTTCATTTAAATATTAGATCAATAAGGAAACATTGGGATCAATTTTGTATTTATTTTAAGGATTCAATAAATGTTTTTGATGTAATTATTTTAACAGAAATCAACATTAAGAAACAGTTTTCCGAACTTTTAAATCTATTCTGTTTAGATAATTTTAATCAGATTTGTAATCTAAGGAATGAAACAAAAGGTGGAGGGATTTTAATTTTTGTAAAGAGTAGTTTTCAGGCAGTGGAGATGAATTTCAATAGCAGTAATTTTGAAAGCATTGTGATAAATGTGAAAAATAATGTTTTTGATGTAATAATAATAGCTGTATACAGACCACCATCCAGCAATGAATTAAAATATGTGGAAGAATTAGAAAAAATAGCTCAGAAAACCAAAGGAGAGGCGATTATAATGGGTGACATGAATATAGATATAAAAAATGAAAAAGTAGGTTATGTACAAGAATATAAAAATAGCATGGCTTTAAATGGTTTCAAATCGATCATTAATGATTTTACTAGGGAAGAAGTTAGAGCTGGAAAATTAAGTCAGACATGTATAGACCATGCATATCTTAGAACAAGAAAGCTCAAAGTTCACTCAGATATCCTACAGATAAAGATAGCGGACCACTATCCTTGCGTTATCAATGTCCAGCCTGACAACTCCTGCCCAGCTTATCACACAAACAAACCACAGCAAATTATCAATGAACAGCTGCTGGGACAGGTATTGGGGCAGATGGACTGGAAGTCTGTGGAATGTTTAAGTGATCCTACAGAAATTTATAATAAACTGTATACAAACATGACAAATGCATACAGGGACAGTAAGGTGGAGAAGAAAAGAAATAAATATACAAAGCCTAAAAAATGCTGGATTACCCAAAAAATTCTAAATATGATAAAGGATAAAGATAAAGCTTTTAAATTATTTAAGTCCCATCCAAATGAAATCCATTACAGAGAAAGATATAACAGATTAAGAAACCAAGTAAATAAAGAAATATACAAGGCAAAAAGAAATTTTTATCACAAGTATTTTGATAAGAATAAGAAAGATATTAGAAACACATGGGAGAAAATTAACTCATTATTAGGAAAACGTAAAAAAGAAAGTATAGATGGTATTGTGATGAAATACATGGCAAGAACGTCAACAGAACAAGAGATATGCGATAGATTTGCTAAAAGCTTCACTGATGGTATAAATAAAGTTATTCATGACTGTTCAATTACAACATTTAATAGAATGCCAGCAAAAGAATGTAGTTCCACATTTTATGTGCCATCTATAAATAGCGAAACATTAATGAAGCTACTTAATAATATGACAAGAAAGGGAGCTGGTTTGGATGGTATTAGGATTACAGATATAAAAAAGCATGCAAATTTAATAAGTGGTCCAATCATAAAATTTATAAATTCATCTCTCAGAAAGGCGGAAGTACCAGCAGCTCTAAAAAAAGCAATAATTAGGCCTGTTTATAAGTCTGGAAGCCACTTAGATTATTCGAATTATCGCCCAATATCAATTTTGTCATCCATAAATAAAATACTAGAACGTTATGTAGCAAATTGCCTGACAACACACTTGAAGAATAATAACATAATAAATCCCTACCAGTATGCATACCAGAAAAACAAAGGCACAGATGAACTGTTGGCAGATTTTTCAGACTTTTTAAACAGACAATTGAGCAACGGTAATCAAATTTTAGTAATTTTTATAGATTTTTCAAAGGCATTTGACACCTTAAAACATGAAAAAATTGAAGTTGCAATGAACAGAGCTGGCATTAGAGGCCAAACCAAGAATTGGTTTATGAATTATTTAAGCAATAGGGAAATTATGGTCAAAATAAATAACTCATATAGTAATTCTGAAAAATTGAACCAAGGAGTTCCCCAGGGAAGTATATTAGGGCCACTCTTATACTTACTTTATGTAAATGAAATGCCAGAGATAATACAAAAAAGTCGGATATACATGTATGCTGATGATACAGTACTGGTGACATCGAACAAAAATTTTGAAGATGCAGTCAGAGATATACAATCAGATTTTTTAGAAATAACAAAATGGTGCCATGACAATGGATTAAGCATAAATTGTAAGAAATCTAAAATAATGCATATACACTCCCCCTATTACGATTGTAAAAAACCTACAGTTATAGCACATATACAAAATTGTCTACACAGTAAAACATACTTAAAAGAAAAATGTGAATGTCGAGCATTGGAAGCAGTCAACAGCTTTAAATATCTAGGAATAATTGTAGATCATAATTTAAAATGGGATGCTCATATACTATATTTAAAAGAAAAACTTCGAGCATGTGCCTCAAAACTGTACCACTTACGAGATTGCTTACCATTTAAGACATTAAAAGTTATTTATGCATCTATGTGTGAGTCACTTCTTAGATATGGATTAAGATCTTGGGGAAATGCCTCAATATCAGAATTACAAAAACTGCAGACTGTACAAACAAGAATATTAAAGATAATCACTAAGCTTGATTCTGCTATTGTAAATGAATTTCCAATGCTGTGTTATCAGTTGACAGGTGTTCTGCCAGTAGAAAAACTGTTTACTTATTTGTTGATTGTTGATTATTACTATTCAGATAAGTTCAAAACAAAAAATGTACATAGATATAACTCCAGGAAGGAATTTTATATCGTTCCTAGTATTAGAAATAAGTATACAAAACGAACAAGGAGTTATTTGGTACCAACATTATTCAATAATCTGCCACAAAGTCTAAAAGAGGTAAAAACTTATAAATTGTTAAAGGTCAAGCTGAAGAATTTTTATTTATTTGAATAGTAGAGAATAAATTCTTATAGGCATACTTATTTGTGTCTGTGTTTTTTGTTTAAAATCTAAATTATAATTGAATGTTATGATTAATCTTTATAGTCATTTTAATTACTTGTTACTGTTGATATTTAAAATTTTAATACTTGTTACTCATGTTAAGTAGTGTTAGGTAAAATATTACAGTATTACTTGTATCGATCTTGTTACAGTTTTTCTTCGCTCAACTATTTTTTTTTTGTGTTTCAATTTTATATGTTTATACTCATGTATGTAGTTGTTAAGTTTGTTGGTTCAGGCTTTGATACTGTTTAGGAAGGGAAAACTATTAAATTATGGCTGACTCAACGAGATGCATCTAAAAGACATTAAGTTAAATCAAGAAATGCTACGGACAAGCCTTTTATGAGGCTTATGTAGCTTAGTGTTATAATGCCCTTTTGTCATTGTGTTGTTATTGAATAAATAAATTGAAATTGAATGTCAAATTAACTTGACATCCATACCAATAATTGTGTAGAAACGTTGACAACTTCTGTAAAAAGTTTTTACTTACTTAATTTCTACACCATGTCGGATGCCATTTTCATCACAGAATGTTTTTGCCAAAACTGCGACGAGCTTTTGAAACTTTTCTTGAACGTCTGAAAACTAAATCTTCTTTCAACAAGATACTATACATACAAAATTAAATAACATGAAGATGAAAGTACAGTATGTCTTTTGTAACAGTAATTAATTCATTACGTTACCTAAAATAGGAGTGACACTAAAAGTGGATCTTTAGTGGAAGTGGTCAATACAAATGTTTATTGATATTCAATATTGATACATAAAATACTAAATAATATATAACAATAATGTATAAATGGACCTAGAATGATGACGTATTGGCACCACTATTCCCAAGCATAATATAAATTAAGCTAAGCATTGACATTCTCTGTTTAGTTATAAATATTTGTCTCCATTGATACATTTTGATGTTTTGTAGCATTAGTTATGAATTGAGTCCAGAAAGAAATATTGTGATCACTACGTATCGATACATTTTTATTTCTTGATCAATTCTATTAGGATATTGTGTTTTTTAAAATCATTATCACTGAAAAAACTCTTTTTAGCTATACCACTGATGTTACTATGAAAGGTATTCAATGATGCAGTGTGAGTGAAACATGTTTAAAAGCTTTGCATGAGTCTTAAATCATAACTCAGCTTAGTAATTTTCTTTGATCAAATCCATTACAATTCTAAAAAAATATATTGTCTGATAGGCCTATATTCAATATAATACCTGTTCGACATTTTTTCCATCTAGACTAACAATTAGAAAATCATTTTGGTCGCCTTCATCTTCAGGTTTTGGTTTTGCTTCCCCTAAAAGGAAACAGAAAAAATATTTATTACTGATTAATATAACTATTAATTATAAGCCTACTATAGTTGAAATTTAAATACTAATAACAAAAACACAAAGGGAAAATGTTTATAAGAAATTATGGGCTTTGAATACAATTGAGTTGTATAACCAAATTTTTCATTTTGGAATTTGGTTAAAAAAAACTATGCTCTTTCTATGTAGGTATACATATTTTATTTAAGCTATAAAATATTTTTGTTAACTTTTGTAGGGATACAATATCTTAAGTAAATGTATCAGCAACCAGCTTAACAACAACCCTTCATGAGTAAAGCTGGTAGGAGTATACTTATCCTACTTTAATGGGGAAAATCACAAAGGCTGCTACAACTTTTGAACCATAATTTTTATAACAAGGGGGTTGTAATAATGTAGGCACGATATATCGGCTAATAGTAAAAAGAAACTGAAACATACAAAATTTTAATCAAAATCGTTTATGAGGTTTAACTTTTTTTAATCAGTTTTCTGATATTTTATGGGAAAATCACTAATTAGAATCACAATCTCAAAAAATATCAAATAAATAAACCCGTCTGGAGATACTATAGATTGGTACCCAGATACCGAAATGAATTGCAAAAATTGGACCACAGTTGTGGTATGCAGTTCTCTACACATCCACACACACTCCCAAAATAGAAAATACACAGACATATACCACACAAACATCACTAACAAAAAACCACTTATTTTAGGTTCAGGGGGACCAAAAAACTATATTTACAACCAAAACTCAAATTAAAAAATGTTGGGAAAAAATACTTTCTCCATAATACTAGGCTATTAATAGGAGGATACAGTACAAAGCATGATGTGTTGAAGAGCATAACTATAGCATATCTTTAAACATTTTGTATCTAAGGTGAAAAAACTGGAAAAATCTATATTTTTAATATACATATTGTAAATAACATCAAGTGTTAATTAAGACACAAATCCATACATACCTGTAAACAAAACAAGGATAAAAACACACAGAATAACAGTGGAACACATGACATTCACTGAATCACACTGTTGGAAGGTGTGAGTTGATAATAGCCTAGTCTGAGATAAGGGATATGATAATAAAATACCTGACACATTTGTGTTAACACTTCGTATCTTAGAAATATAATCCCACTGATAGGCTGTTTGTCAAATTTACACAAAAGCTATAAAAAACTTCATGTCATAAGTGTCCTATTTATGTGATGTGGTTATAAGGTGTTGATTAAAAATAGCTAAGTATAATATCTTTGAATATAGATTTGTGATTACCTCTAGGTAGAGTCGTTCTGTAATAGAAAATAATCCACGTACAGATTGTGCTACTGATTACTGTATTATGTAGACTTAAAAAAAAAAAAAAACAGTGGGGGAAAAGAACGAAGCCTTATTCTCCCTTCCCCCATCACCACTTCGGCCCTAGAACACCAATTTAATTTAATTTTAGTGTAAAGGGACTTTTCGTCCACCCTGTAGAAAGCTTTATTATTCGACCATCTTGTTAAAACAATGGCATTTCTTCTTAGGTAACAACCTCACAAACTCTGGCAGTTTATTGAAGAACAATAGCTGTTGGTACTTAAGCTTAAACTCCTAGTTGAATCAAGAACTCGACCAATAAAAAATTAACAATTGGTAATAAAATCGTGATATAATTTTTAAATAGTACAAAAATAACGTAAACCGCTTATCAAGGTAACTTACAAAGACATTTTCATGTAGATCATAAACTGATATAAATCTACAGTATTTGTCATACACCAGCACCTTCAAATTACCAAGTGAATCCGACCCGCGGTACTTCAGAGCGGGAAAACGTCTTTTGTTTGCAGGCGTAGAAAAATCTTTGTAAGGACAAACAGCTGCGTATTCTTTATGTGCTTTTATCTAGGACAATATTTTGGATTTTCTGCAGAGTAACTTAACATATTTTTTCCATAAAACCCATAAAATATAAGAAAACTTGTTTTTGCAAAAATGGCTCGACCACCTTTGATTGAAATTTAGTATGTTACAGTACACAGTCATAGCCCTTTATCTATGAACAAAATGGCACAACCCGAAATGCTTTGAAAATTACAGTACAGTTATTGCAATTTTTTTATTTTCCCCATAAAAAACGTAGGCTATAGTTACTTCCTTTGGTTGCCCAGTGTTTCCTTATAGATGTAGTAGGCGAATGGTAGAAGTAGCACATCATTTTAAACATATTTTAAAAAGGAAATTGATGATGCAAACTTTGATACCACGAATACAAAAAGTTATTGTAAGAAATGTTAGACGTTAATTTAACCGTAGCTATTCCTTCCATCACATTTATTTTTTTAATGGCTGTAAATGTTCAAATAACCTTTAATACACGTAACAAGGGTGATGTCACGCTCTTTTTAACATGATTTGAATTTCATCACCCACCCCCCAAATAGGGGTTAGTATTTAATAAGATAAAAACCCCACCAGCAACCCGTAATTTAGGGTGTGCAAAGTTCTTTATTAGTCTATGTGTGTTGGTAAATAAATAAATGTCCAGGGTTTACAATAGTGAACACATATAAACCTTTTATTTATCGAATTGTAAAAATATGGTTAATAAACTAAACAAATATTTAACGCTGTCATTATTATCCTTATTTAACCCTACGCACTAAACGTTTACTGTATTGGTATGAAATATTTTAGCTTGTCACAACAGTAGTTACTCGCTACGGCCGAAGAGTGAGACAGAGAACAACAATGAAACTATCACCTGACTGCCACTGCTATCTGCATCTTAGTGTTCAGTTGCGTAAGATTTATTGATAGTAATAATTCCCAATTCGCTGCGTGAAACACCTTGTGAGTTTACAATAAGTTTATCTGTTCCTTACTCTGTATTTAAATTTGTTATTACCACTACTGTATATCGATACCACTGGGTTACACTTATATCGATTGATAATGTCGATTTTATTAGTAAACCTTCATTCGATTTTTTATTATCAGCAAGTTTGGTTAGTTAGGTTATAACAGTTTCATTTTACAATTGATGGTTGACAGTGTAAAATAATAAAATAACGGTTTACTAATCAATTCGATATTTTCAACCGATAGTGGCGTAGTTCAGTTATGAAACTGTACCCTGCTACAGTATTTTAAGCTAAATTAAACAAATTATAAACAAATGATCTAACTACTTAATAATTGGAATTTACAACGTTCTCAACATTGTCATTTTCTCCGTTACTAATAACCGTACAAAAACTCTTTGATATACTAAATTATTATTTTTAAGCTCTTTAAAAAGATCTAGAGAGAAATTGGGAATTTCTATGTTTTGAGGGTCAAAAATGAGAAAAACCACTTTTTACTCCATAAATCCCCCCATAAAACCACGTTCCCATGGTCCGATCATGCTGGTTTCTGAACTCAATCAAGTATATCCTGCTTTACACCTTTAAACCAAATTTTATCAAAATCAGACAAAAAATACTCAAGCTATCGCGTTCACCAAATTTTAACGAATGGTGTTTTTGGCCTCTGTGGACATAAAAATGAAAAAGTAAATTGGTCCCGGGCCTAGGTCTTACTGTGCCACCTACGGTAAAAACTACTTACCTATAGGGAAATTCGCTAATAAAAGTATTAGTCTTACTTTCCTTCTACGTAATATTGTATTTACATATTTTTATAAATACGTCAATGTTATTAAATCATATTTATCATCGTACTTAATCTTGTTAATATTGTGTTAGCACATTATGTAAAATGAATATAATATATTCATTTTACATAATGTTCATTTAACCTTAAATTTCATTTAACCTTAATTCATTTAACCTGATATTATAAATAATGAAGATATACAAATATATCTTCATTATTTATAAGATCAGGTTAAATGTGCAGGGAAGTGAGGTATTACCGTAGGTGGCACTTACCGACTTAGGCCCGGAACCGATTAACTTTTTCATTTTGATGTCCCCATTGACTAAAAACGCTATTTGTTCATATTATTATGAATATAAAAATTGTTTCATATCATATCATTCATTAATATTGACTTTGTCGTGAGTCCATTATGGATAAAAACGCATAAAAACAATCAAGAGACCATTAATTATATCCAGGAATGTGAATTTATCATTTGTAAATCAACTCACTCTCCCCTCACTTAAAGAGTATGTCTTAATCTACAACTATAAAAATCATTTAAATTTTATGTATTTTTTTCATATACATAAATATACAGGGTGTTCATTTGAAAACTTTCCATATCTGTAATGTGCAAAGGTAAGGCTTTTAACACTTGTTTGTTCTCATTTCCCCCTAATTTGGACAAGCCAAATCCAATAAAATTATTTTCAATTTTGAAAAATGCCCCAAAAGGGCCCAATTTGGGGGGTAGGGGTGCTTTTTGAGAAATTTTCAAATGTAAACATGGGTTGTGTGATACATCAATTTAAAGGTCTAATCACCCCGATCATTTTGGTGCAAAAAAAGTTTAATTATCTTTAACCGTATTTACAGGGTGGGTCAAAACGTTTTAAAAAAGGACTTTGAAGTTAAGTACCGTATTACCCTAACTACTGAACGGAACAGCACCAAATTTCTTTCCAAGCTTATTCTTGAGCTACTCTTTAAGATAACTTGTAGTAAGGGCATTTTCCAAGTTATTTTCTAATTTTTAAAAAATCTCAAATTTTAAGAATAAAAGAAAGCTGAAAACTCAAAATTCTTAAATGGCAAGGTATAACAAATTTCATACCACGTGAAAGGTCCTTTTTTAACAAACATTTTACGTATTTAAGTTTTCTTTCTATCTCTTACCGTTTAAAAATTGCAGTGGAAAAACATAATTTTACATGGTAAAATTATAACTAGTTTTCTAATAAAACACATTGCACTTTGTTCAACGATGTAGTAGGATTCATAACAAATTGATCGACTACTTTTACGTGTGTCAGAATTCATCTTGGACCCTTCATC